TCATAAAAGTGACCAAAAATTCATTCATCTGGAAGGAAAACAAAATAAAAACCAAATATTTAAAGAGGAAGGAGCGAATATACAGCAACTGGCAGAGTTAACTTGAGGTTAACGCATAAACACCTTGATTTCTGCCAAATTTGTGGCAAACTTGTGTCAGATATGTGGAAACATTTGCCAAAAGTGACTTAAAATAAGGTCAGAAACAGCTGAAAACAGTGAAAAAAGCTTACAGTGGAAAAATGAATAGATGTTAGCCCAGGACTAGCCAAAAGTTGACTGAACAATCAGCAAAAGGTAGCCAGGTGTTTATTTGTATTTTTTTAAATTATTTCTGCAAATGATCCAAAATGCCCTTGAAATGTGTTTTCACCTGGGAAAAGGCATTTTTCCAAAGTTTCAATGGTCTGTAGCTAACATTAGTTTTTACTGATGATGTTTTGGGGTTTTTTCGGAGGGTGGGGTTGGGTTTAGGAATAAAGAAGGAAACACAATATTCTGACTTTACTATGAAGTGAAATCCACAGTTATGAAAGACATATCCATCTCCTGTTACTTAGGCACGCAACCACTTTGGTAGGAAAATAGCAGCAGGACCATCAGAATTACAGCTGTGGTCAGGTCCTCCATCCCTGGTCTGAAACTGCAGGGCATCTTCTGATGGTTTTACAGCGTCTGACTCCTGGACTGTACAGAGCATCAGGCCAAAAGAAAGAAAGATTTTGTTTTGTTTTGAGAGGTTCTCCATTTTTGTTGCTTTACTTAATATTTCCCAGAGAAGTTTTTAGTGTCTGGTGAAAATTATTGTACAGCTGACTGTATTTGAACCATTGATATCTCTCTGATAAATGCCGTCGTGGGTCGCTGTGCTGCGGCGTGTACAGACGTACACAGCATTGTGGGTCGTGGAAAAGTAATTACTGCTCAGTGTGAAAGCCAGTGATTTGTGCTTGGAACAGAATTATAGGTGAAATGTACAATAAAAATTTCCGTCTATGCATCGTGGACGTCTGAGAGTCTTCTCTATGACTAAAATAAAATATGGAACAGTATGTTATATTGGTGCGAATCGTTATCAGTTTATGTCGTTTATGTATATATACAGTATATGTATATATATATATGTTAATATAAATATGCTGTGTAGTTTCTTTATACCTTCTAATTTGAAAAAAAATGCTTCTTTTCTTTTTTTTCAAAAAGACAGCATTGTTGAACTTCAGTATGTCTTCAAAAACAATCCCAAATATAACTTTATCACAGTTGGCCATGTTTTTTTTTAGTTGCGTTCAACCTCATTGGCCTGAAAGGCTTTGAGCTCGACCTAGAACATTCCGAGTGGAATAAGTCAGAGATTCCCAGTTCTCTGGAATGCAGCCGTACCTCTGCCAGTTCCTCTGCCCAGTGTTTAGTCAACCAGAGTTTCCTACTTTATGACTTTGTTTGATTTTTATTTAGCCGTAGCCTCTTTGATTTTTTTTGTACTTTTTCGTGATCATCTGCCAGTCTTTGGTACTCGATCCGTGGCGGTCAGTCGTTCTCTGACTACATTAAAAGTGACGTCTTCGCTGCATCCTGAGAGCAGTGTCCACATCCAGTACTGTGGTGACCAGACCACTGCTGTATGTTCTTTCACTGTTTCCTACCTCAGCCTGTCCTAGTACCATTCACATTGACCTTTGCACCCTTTCACACACTTCACTTGCCCTTTCATTTACAATATTTGTGGATAAACACTTTCCTCAGAAGGAAAAGAAAAACCCTTTTGTGACTAAGTGTGTGGCTGCTGCATTTTACTAGACAGGAAGTTGTGCCACCATTGTCCTCACGCCAGTCCTACTTAAGACAAACAGAAGAAGAGAATTTGCAAGTGTTCCTTTCATGCGATGGTTTTGTGGTTGTCGAGGTTTGTCATGAATGTTAATTTCGTACTCTGCTGCACATGAGGCCCCTCTGCCTTATCCAAGGAATGCTGGGTAACGGAGGCTTGTGGTTTGGCTGCTGGAGCGCTGCGCTGGAAGAGAGCGGAGATGGTGAGAGTCTGGTGGTTGACCCCGTTTTCAGGAGGCGCTAGGAAAAGAAAGTGTGACAAAATGAGGGACAAAGAGACTGATTTAGAACAATAGGTGAGAAGATGTACGAGTGTAAAAGTAGAGAGTGTTTATGGTAGGAATTAAGCATGGGGTCAAACTCTGGGTTCCATCTCTTTACACATCTGCTTAGTTCAAAACCTCCTCCTCCTCCTCCTCTTCCTCCGCCTGGGCTTCTGTTGCCCATGCATGTATGGAATGTGAAGCAGACTCAACACAGTGATGAGCCAAAAGTGAACTACTGTTGTGAGATTATGACTGACTAATCATCATTATTGACAGCTGATTTATTAGCGCAGTGTCGCACATTTAAGCACTGACCGCAAACTGCTGATGTGGAGGTAGAAGCCACGGGAACAAGGCATCAAATCATTACCGCTCCCTGTGGAAAGGTTGTGGGTTTGATGACTTAAATCAATCAAAGTCAAATCAGTAGGTTTTCCTTTAGCTTCAATTCACAACATACATTTTGATTGTATCTCACATCAGTCCCTTCTGCCTGTAATCAGCCACACCGCCTACACTTGTTGTCCTCTGTCTTGATACGTCGACCTGCTCCACCCTTCACCTGCTATGTTGTGTGGCCACGTATAGAACTGCAGGTAAATCTGGATAAAATCTTAAAACCTTTTTGTTGTGCATGCCGTAGGAAATTCAATTACAAAATGTAGCTAAAATTCCAGTCTACAAATAAGAAATGAGAGTTGAACAAATAGTTGGTGTTGAGTCTTTAATGTTGTTTATATGGACTCCTGTATCAAATTAAGGTTAAGGTTTATATACAGTAAAAAATAAATAAAATCTCTTACTCTAACATAAAAAAAGGACAATAAATAAAGTGATTTCACTGTATCTGGGGAGCTCCTCCAGCAGTCTAGGCCTATAACAGTGTAACCAAGGGATAGTTTTGGTCCAACACTTTGGAAGATTGTCCACTGGAAACCAAACGACTGAAGTTTCTGCTTCTTACCACTACGAGTACTCACACACTTCATTCAAAGTGCTGTGATTTGTTTAGATGCTGGTACGCTAATAAATCTTCATAACAAGCTGTGGCCTGATCATGAAGAAGAAGCTTTTTTTGCTTTTAGCTCCTGTACTGCAGTACTTTTAATTAGTTGGAAAACTTTAAGAGGTATTCTGATCTTTGGCATAAGGTTTGTTTACCTAGCTGCAATTACAGTTAAAGATCTGTTTGTTTCAGAGGGTTTTTAATTTATGTTAAAAGACATTTATGACAAATGCACTTTAACACAGTGAAGAAAACATCTTACTGCATGTTTTAAAATCATTTACCTTTTTTCCCTCGTTCTCAATTCTTTTTTATTCTTTAATTTCTGCTCTGTGTTGCATGTTTACCCATTGTATTTGAAGGTTGTTAGAAATTTGAAGTTGATTGTTTTTAGTAGTACAATGCCAAGGGTTTGAAGTCTAACCTGGTTTTGTGCACCATGAACGTGCACAGACTCGCTCTGCCTTTTATCCAATCAGAGGAATTTATTTCTCTAATATCTGTCAGTACTCGGAGATTTGTGTACTCATTATACTCACTGTTGTCCTTCAACATCCTGCGTCTCCAGTGAGTTTCTGCACGTTGTCTGGGCGTTTTACTTTTGGACACGTTGAAACACTGAAGTCAATATTTGAAGGTGCTGTGGAGCGAACTTTATTTCCCAGATACAGAAAAATCTGCCGATTTAGGAAAAAAAAATCTGGATCAGTTGTTGTTTGTACAAGAATTAAATCTGAAGCAATTTTGTTGAATTATACAAAATTACACACAGCAGTGTCTGTTCCCACACTTTCAGACGATGTATTTGTGCTGATCTGTGTTTCCTCCACTGCTATCTTAACATTTGTTTCGAAACTTCTCTTTTCCTTTTGGCCGTGATGTTTAGGTGGAAAACAAGAACCACAACTCACACGGACCCTGAGTTTGGTTAGAAAAACACAGATGAGGAGGGAGATGAGTTGATATTCTTGGTTAAATGAAGGGAAGTAAAATGACTGATCTAAATCTGAAATTTCCGATTTTCAGGAACTCACAGTGGGAGAACAAAAACAACGGCTTTTTTTCTACAAAAAATGAGATGACTGTCGTTTCAGTGTTCATGTTTTTGTTCACTGATTGATTGGTTGTTTTGTTTACAGTAACTCAGATTACAATCATGTATCTGATTATATTTGGTTCTTTTTTCATTTACAACTCAGATTACAATCATGTATCTGAGTTACCCTTTGATTATATTTGGTTCTTTTTTCATTTAATTGATTTTTTAAATTATATTTTATTTTATTATTTCTCAGATTTTCAATTTGTTCATGTTTCAATAAGTAAAAAAAAGGTTTATATAAAAATAGAAAGTCCCAGTTTAATGCAGATTCCTACAGACAGGTACAGTACTTTCCCATTTCTTTAAGTATTTAAGTAGTTTTTTAAGTATTATTATTATATTTTCTCAATGACCTGTCTTTAAGTGTCACAATTTGATTCCAAATCAAATTTTGAAACTTGTTTCCAAAGTAGCTATCAACATGTAGACGCACGTTCCATGAGGGACAGCTGAAATAAATTCTCTCTGGAAATGTTAGTGGACACGGACACTTTCAGTTCGTCTTCATTGGGCTGAGACAGAATTTTGTCGTTGTCTCAGGAACAGTGAGTGAGACTGAAGTCCGGAGCACAGGGAGCGCTCACGTGTTCCACTAATGCGAGGATGTCGAGTCCCTGGCACTGTTTGATCCGAAATTACAGGCTGATTTTTCCTGTAAGTGGAAAATTAGTGGCTCTCCTTATTCTTCCAGATATCCTCCACGTCTGTGTGTGTGTGTGTGTGTATGTGTGTGTTCCCCCAGTTTCCATCCTGTTTATCAAAACCAATTGTGGTCTGCAGAGTCATGCAGGACTCTGAGGGTCTGCAGAGTTTCATGAACTGCAGTTCCGTGGCTTTAGCTACAGAAAGCAAAGGAGTCAGAGTCCTTTTCATTTTTCAGTTCCTCGACTCGAGTCTGAAACCCGGTCTTTGACTGAGGAGAAATCTTCTGAAGTGACTCATTGTCAATGGGTGAATTGTTCACCCACTGTGTGTCACCTGTCTCCTGGGCAGACAGAGCAGATGCAGAATGATCTCGCTGTAAAACCAGCACCTTTGGGACTTTGACTCATTCAAACTCAGACAACCTGGTTTTACTCTTGGAACAATGTAAGGCCACAGGAGCTCAGAGGAACAACACCAGGGGGAAAACCGGATATTAATTATTTCTGTCTGTTTTTCTGTGCCTGGATCCAAACATAATACTTTGGCTGCCAGGATGTTGCAAACTGTCTGATGCTGCATCCAAAATAAATGTACACTCATGAAACAAGGAAAAGATGGCCGTCTTTATCAGAGATTATGAACCTAATTCTATTTGTTTAACATCAGAGACTCAGGACAGTGAGGGTAAAACAGTCCACTTTCATTTTGTTTATGGGAAATCAAAAAGATTCTACTTGAAAAACATGGAAATTATCATCATTAATGAGGTCTGTTAAAGCTTGTGCAGTGATGATGTCAGAATGAACCAGTCAGGGAGGAGGAACCTGTCTGTGACCAGTGGTGTTGGTTTGAAACATCCAACCTTTACAGCTTCATCCTTCTCAAGGACGCAGGGGACGCAACCAAAGCCAGCTGTCAACAGGCGAGGGCGGGGTGTTTTAGTGCACTGATGAAGAAGAAGGATTTTCGGGTTTTTTTCTCTAAGACAGTAGTTCTCAAATGACAGAAAATCATTTATAACCACTGCTGTAAGAGTGATATTCTGGACAACGTTCTCATAAAAATGTCTGACTTTATTCAAACCAACTCATGACTTTATTTTCATTCACTTTTGACTTTATTCTCATAAACCTGTTTTCTCCCTCTTTCAGGGGTTTAAATTTTCAGTACAACTTTAACCCCGTAAAGTTGTGACTCAATTCTCATGAATCAATTTTTTTGTCTACTGTCCCGATATTCCCTATAACTCTGACTGTAGCTACATTTCATTTATTTATTCATTGAGTCAAACACTGTAGCTACGTTTCATTTATTTATTCATTGAGTCAAACTTTAATGCATTCATTCATTCATTCAGACAGACAGACAGTCATTCATTCATGCACTCTGTTGATCTCAGCAGTCAGTAAGTTTCTCTTCATGCTCTCCGTGGTCTTTGGTTTTGTTTGTGTCCTTGGCGTCTGAAACCCTTTATTTAAACCGTTGAATCACTTTTACCACTAAACAGTAGGTAGAATTTACAAGACTCACATTCTCAACAAAACCAGACTCTGGGAAAACAACCAGAACATTGGTGAATGTATCCCATCTACCAGACACTGAACCCCCCCCCCCCCCCCCCCCTTGATTTTTCTATCAGAGACAAAATTATGTTGTGACTTGAAGGTTAACCTGTAGATTTAAAAAATAATTAGCTGAATAATTAGATGAATTTTGTTGATGGTCCCTCACCTCCAAAAATAATTAGCAATGAATTTTGTTGATGGTCCCTCACCTCATTGTTTCCTCACGGTGCTGTATGAGAACATGTGGTAGTTATCATTAGAAAACAGCGGGTATGTAGTTTGTCTGCTACGACTCTAAAGTCGTAGAATGGTGAAGTCCCACCAGCTGCAAAATGTGTCAAGTCGCATCATTTGTGTTTTTTTTCTTTATTGAACCAGAGAAAAGTGGCAAATTACAATTTCTTTTTTGAATTACTCAAATTTTCCCAATTTTGTTTGTTTTCCTGCTTTGTAATCTTCAGAATTATGGGTCCTAGAAAAAAAAAGAAAAAAAAAGAAATATAGATCCATGCTACTAAAAATGAGAAAAAAATTACAAATTTTCTCCGTCATAAATAATTTGGTAATTACTCTTTAAATTTCTCTCTTACCCTATGATTAACAACCGTGTTAATTTTTCTTCAAAATGTTTAAGCCCAAAATAACAGCATTCACACTAGCAAAAAAAAAACCCCATAAAAACATGTTGAAAATAATTGCCTACAATGTTCACTTTCAGTTAAAGTGTGTGTTTGATAAAGTGGACGGCACAGAACATCTGGGTTGGTGCATGTAACGATGCAGTGATTAGTGTGGCTCCGTGAACGGTTCAGGTTCACGGCTTTTCCTCCACAATTCTCCTGGTTTCCTGTCACTATTGGAAAAAACATGCATGTTGTTATGTTAATGGTCACGTCGTATGTATGTAGGTGTGAACAGTGTGTCTGTCATTAGGCTTCACACCGTCAGCCTGGCTGTAGTCACTCACTGAGACAGGGTTTGTTTTTCAACCTCAGTTTAAAAAAAATCTTTATGGATTGTTTCACGGTATTTGACAAGGATGTTAATCATTTTGATGAAACGCCCTTACAATCTGTTAGAAATACATTGAATTTGACTTAGCATTTAAAAATATCACATTTAAATTAGATTAGGTTAAAGGGGCAAATGAAAGGAAATGTAAAGTAAAACCAGGCTTTAGGTTTAAGTAGAGCTGCCGGTGAATGATGTTATTTTTCATTAATGCAAATGTTGTTGGATTCCACCCACAGGCCGTCCCTCAGTAAAGATGCATTTGTACCCACAGTCACTGCACACCATCACAGAGTGTGACTTGTTTCTGTTGGCTGGACCTGCCTTCAGCTCAGGTGTCGGTGTTGCCAAGATCTGCCTGCCTGCTGAGAACAGTCTGCCCAGAGCGGAAACCCACAAAGCTGAAGTGGAAACCAGTGGTGTGATACCTCCGTTGTGTAGCTGCTGAGTGAGAACCTGATGGTGAGAACTACTCCCCGAGGAGACGCCAAGGTACGGAGACGAGCAGGGACTTGACAACAGCACCTCCTCTTAAAGTTTTTTTTTTTCCATGACATTTTTGGAAGTGTACAGCCCTGGGTGCTCACTACTCAACGTACCGGTCACAGCACCTTTACAGAGGCTTTTCTTATATATGTGTATATATATATATATATATATATATATATATATATATACACACTGTATATACATAGTGCTTGTGTGATCTAATGCTTATAGGACCTTTATGCCCACATTATACACCATTTTGTGTCATCCTGTTTGAATCTGTTCCAAAAACCCTGTTTGAAATTCTGTTCCCTGTCTTCTAATACTTGACTTTTTTTTTAAAGGACTGTTCCATTATCATCTAAAATCTTCATCATCTTCATCTTCTACCGTCTTGTTCTGTGGGGGCGAAGCCAAGGAGCCAATCACAGCAGTCATCAGGTGAGAGAGTCCATCACATATACAGTAGATGGATGGAAACAAACACACTCACACTCACATTTACAGCACAGTCAGTTGCAAACCCAACAAACAGAAAGATCATCAAGTTACCGCCTGAGGTCAGAGGTCAGACTGCGTTAAACATGGACATGACAAATGTAGCTCTGGGCTGCATACCTATTGGTTATTTTTGTTTGAAGGGTCAACAGTTTACTTTGCATTAGAAGTGTAGCACCATCTACTGTCAGCTTACATCTGCAAACAATGTCCTTGTTCATGAGAAATAGCAACATCGTCTTCAGTGAAGCCATACAACTGCCGGATTATAAGAGAAAAAAAGCAAAAACAAAACTCGACAATTTGACGTTCCTGTCTTGGAGCTACACAAATGCTTTAAATGTTCTTTATTTATTAAAGAAAAAAAAAGAAACAAACAGACAAAAAAAAAAGCCTGGGCTCCTGAGTAAACACTAACAGTGATGTAAACATCCAGGGTGGAAAATATGGCAGCATAAACCCCAACTCTAACCATTAGACTGTGTATAAAGCTAGCATGGCAGCGCTAATAACAAACACATGCGCTCCTCCTGGTGCTCCTGTCCACAAACTGGAGAATAAAAGAATAATTAGGAAAAGATGGAGGAGGAAGAGACAGAGACGGGGCAGGAAGTACGTTGAAGGTCTGCAGTCAGCAGAGTGGAAACATGGAGTTGGAGGAAAGAGTTCAAATAAAACTGCTGGTGAACTTGGAAAACAACAACTTAAGAAACAAAACATGGAAAAATGTTTTCCACAGTAAACAACAAAGAAAAACAGTTTTTTTGACCAAATGTAAACTGGTGTTTTTATTATTACTGCAGCCTCCACATAAATCACTGATCTCACTGGTCTTGGCAACATTTGCCACTCTGTGTTCTTGAGGTTGGATTAACAAAGCATGAGAGAGGAGGATAAAAGCGACGTGTTGTGATTTTAACCCCGACTGCAGCGGCAGGTCGGTCTCTGAGGACGAACGCACACATCAGTCATCCTTATTGAAACAGACGTGGACGGAGAAAAATGAAAAATCACCTCCTCACCTCGTTGGTCGTGTGTAACAAGACAACGAGGATAAGTTTGCACTCAAATTGAGACCACGTTTTTGAAGGTTCTGTTTGAATAATGCTGACTTCATCAAAAAAAAAAAATAGTAACAGAAGACCAGGGAGCAGTGTGAGAAAGGAGATGTTTTCTTATTTCCACAGGGGTGTGATGTAATATTACATTTATTATTCTTCTCACATCATCTGCTCCTGGGGATACTTTTTTACTTTAACATTGAATTTAGTTTAAGTTTAGTTAAGGATTTATGATCCGGTCCAACCTGAAAAAACAAGTGGAAATTTCGAATTTGACAGCCAGTGTCTGCTTCAGATCGTGCTTTTCTTTACTCAGCATCTGTATAAAAAAAATAGGCACAGTGTTACAGTGGATACAGTTTTAGCACCTTTAACAATATCCAGGAGAAGATATTGAGACTTTATTAACATAAAAACAAATGGAAAATATAAGATAACAAAGATTATTATTATTATTGTCATTATTATCATTATTGTTATTATTATTATTGTCAAGTGTCAACACCATCAGTAATTTAAAACCTCAGTTTGCCTTTTCTATCTAATGAACCGGCCAGATTGTTTTAACCCAATCCCTGGTGGCCTACAGTGGTACTGCTGCCAAAACATCTCTTTGACTCCAGAAATGACAATCCCAGAGGAAATTCTTCTTTTTTACAGCCGTAGTAATATCCAAACCACCTGATGACATCTCTGAAGTGAAGTTGTTGACGTTATTACGTTTTGACCCACTAGTCACTACCTTCTGAACAGGACACACGTGATTCTCAGAGTTTAAACCCAATATCCAAATATTGACTGCATATTACTGCGAAAAACACTTTAATTATTGAATGAATACCTGCTGCATATTTGGCTGAAAATACAACACAAACACAGCAGAGTTTAAACGAAAGCCTTCTGATGGACATCGTCTCACGTTTTGGCCCACACACACACACACTCAAACCTGTACACTTGAGTGGTAAAAAGAAACACAACCCCTCTGAATAAAGACCAAAGTAATTGCCCCTCAAAAGTGAAGCCAGAGTTGGGAGGTTAGAGAGCACAGTTAGAAACGTCTTTGATGAATAACGAAGTTAAGCCGTCTGTGAAAATATGAGGGAAAAAAATGGAAAAACAATATTCTGCTGTCGGCCTATTAATAAATCAGACATTCAGTGATTATCTGTAAAAAAGAAAAAGAAAAAAGAAGAGAGAGAGCGCGAGCTCGCAGTCAAAGAAGGTAACGGCGTTTCTGAAACATAAAACAAGTCAAAGTAAATATACCGTGTCTACTTATAGCCTTGTCCTCTGGAGAGGACCACCTCCGTGCAGCTGCACCGCTTGACATCTGTTTTGCAGCTTGACTGGTTTATGTTGAGAAAGCAGTGTGTGTGTGTGTGTGTGTGTGTGTGTGTGTGTATCATCCTTGGCCCGGGTCCATGAGGTTTTGACAGTTGGCTGCAGGCGAGGTCGTAAAGGTTGCAAAGGTTGGACTGGGCAGAGGAAGAGCTGATGAGGAGATGAGACGAGCAGTGTGGAAACTGTGTCTTAGATGAAGAAAAAAAACCACCAAAGCCTTCTTTCACTAATCAGTACAGATGAATGTAGCAGCAGAGCTGCTGACGTGATATGACATTTGAAAATGTTCCTTTTTTCAGGTTTCTCCTCTGGTTCTGACATGTAAATACAGCCAGTCACTCCCATGGTTTTCTGCAGCAGCACCATATGGAAGAAATTTGGCTGAGCTCTCCTGACTCAGTGTTCCATCTGCCAGCACGCCTGTGCGTCTTAAAAAAATACTGTATGTTTGCGACGGACGTAAACTACACTGAAGTTTGACAGGGTGATGTCAAAATAGAGATGTTTTTTCTTTATTTCCAAGGATTTATTCATCTTTTGAATTTACACTGCTTTTATTGAAAAGCCTTTGATTTATCGGTGCTAAATCACACTAACTGTATGGAGCATGCCAGGAAACATCGATCATTTCTGACACGAGTACAAGAGAGCAGGAAGCACTGCAATCTAAATGTGATACGTTTTCCTAAATCCTTTATCACATCTGCATAATCTGTTTAGATTAAATGTATATACTGTTCATAAACAGTGAGGAACCGACAGATGATCAGAAATAGATTAGTCCAACTATATAACTATCGTTGAGTCTGCTGGTGCAGCATGGAAATGACTTAGTACTTTATCCGAAGTTAAAAAAAAGTCTAAAGAAAACAAATAAATACTTTTAGTTCTGACACAGAGAATCATACACATGAACCGTTTTGTTAAAGTTCATTTATTGATAAATGTATAAAAGACTTTAATGACTTTAATTTTGGCAAAGCAAACCAGATGTTTTTGTAAAAAGCAAACACAGAAAAGAACATTTTAAAAAGCGTATAAAAAGTCTAATGAAGCAAACAACTTCTTTCCAACACAGAAAATAAACAACTCGCCGCCACGACAGGCTGGGTGACTGGATTCATCAGGGTGCTCAACACCTGGTTTTCAGGCACAAAAACCTAATGTAGTAAAACATGTGTGACTGTCCTTTTTTTTGGAACAGCACATAAATACATCAAATGTCTGCATCAACCACAGGCAGAGTTAAGAGCCAAATGACGTCAAATCAACATGGAAGTTTTTTTATTGGCCAAATGGAGGGACTTTAGGTCTCAGATAAGATGATTATGGTTGGAATAAATTAATGATTGTTGTAACAAACAAACAAACAAACCTAATGACTGTAATAAAAACTAAAAGTTGTAATTTTTGACCAACAATAGGACAAAGTAATCAACAGTTTACAATGATAAAAAAAAGTCTCACTCTGTATGACCCACACCCCATGATAAAGATGAATGGGTGTTTTTCAATTCATCCTGTCAGACCACCAAATTAAAAACTCCCTGAACAAAAGCCACAACCCTGCAACGTTATTAGATTACAAATAACAAAAGTTTACTCATGTATATTGTGTATATTTTCTTTCTTCTTTGGGCCTTTAGCATCAAAGTTATTTTGGCTGCTATTGTATTTTAACTATATTATTAATTTTTTTATGTAAATATATTTTTAAACAATTAGGAGGAGACTTTCCGGGCCATGTACACATTGCGTTGAGACTCCTAGAAACCAAATCTACGTATGACATTTACACAATCCAAGTGTCCAGCACAGATTAAAAAACAAAAAACCTCACTGAAAAACCTTTGGCCTAACAATCATGTTCTCGACTCCTCAGCTCACCCCTCTTTGGTCCCAGGCCTGTCAGGAAACTGCTGTGGTGTAAAAGCTCTTCCATTATATATCTTTCTCTGGTAAATGTACTTGTATGTTTATATGAACAAATGCCTTATTTTTTATTTTTGCATATTAAGCTTCAGACACATGGACTCGCTTCCACTTTACTGCTGCAGAAACATGGGAGCACAAACTGACAGCCTGAGGAAATCCAGGCCTCGTCCCGCCTACTCTACAACATGAAGGCTCAGAAAAGTAATAGTTTTCATTTGATAGTGATTATACCTTTGTACAAACAGACTAATGGGTAGAATATTCCGTTTTTGAGCAGCATACTGTCCACAGAGGACCATTCAGCTGACCTGCTTTGGTGTCACTCCTCCAGCTGTCAGTCAGACAGACAGGAACTCTGTTGCAGATGCTTCACAAAGAAATGGTTCCACACAACAGTGGGAAACTGCCTAGTTTTTTCGTGGTTTGGAAACAGACTTTTTGAGCGAAGGATTCTTTGAAGCAGGGTTGGTGTCCTGATCTGGGTGAGTTTGTGGAGTCTTGGACTCGTAGATCTGTTTGAGGTTGAGGGTCTGTTCTTCCTTGGTGGTTTCTCTTTGGGCTTGACGCAGCAGACGTTTCATGGTCTTCACCTTCTCCCTCAGGTGGCTGTTGGCTTTTTCCAAGGTGCGCACCTTCTGGGATAGAGTCCTCACCTGCTCCTCCTCCTCAAACAGGGCTTTCTGCACCTGAGAGCAGAGTAACTGTGGAGAGAAGAGGGAGACGTCTTTATTCCCCCAGAAAACAGTGAATAAATGTGTGAAGGGTTAGCAGGTCTCCATGGAAACGTGGTTAACAATGAGTCATCCACCAACTCCTACTGCTGATTGTGTTAATAGTCTCCAGGGGAGCTGGAGCCAGTCACAGATGACAGTGGACACAGTTTATCCCTAACTAAGGCTGGAATATGGGTTCAGAGGAAAAGAATTCCGGCTTGACAACAACCTTATTAAAATAATTTTTTAGTGTGAGACTGTGGTGCCTTCATCAATGACATGTGTGCAGAAATGTTTGTTTTTGAGCTCTCCGTCTGGACTCATCTGAGAGTGTGACAGCAGTCGTTTCATTCTGGGACGTTTGTAGCGAAACAATAACAGGAAAGTTAGGAGTGCTGTCAGGTGTTAATCACTTCACACAATGATACACACTGTACTGTATGGCCAGTATTTCTGTCCTCCACACACTCAGCGTTGATACATGTCATCATTAACAGAGAGCTTAAAATACCACGTCAACACCAGGCATGTGTTTGTGGAGGCTTCAGGTTCAAGTCAGATGCCTGGCATCTGTCAGGTCAGCTTCACCGACGTGCTGGGCAGTAAAATGGAACTGTAGACTGTTAATCAGGAGTAAGGACCAACTATGGTGGGTCTGTAGTGTGGTGGTTGGCATGTCTGATCCTGGAGGGTGCTGGGTTTGATTCCTAGAGGAACCACATATATTGCCTTGGATAAAAGCATCTGCTAAATGCATAAAAATGTAAACTGTAAACAGTTGTGAAAGACACCCATTTACCTGCTGTTATTGTCTGACTGTTCCAGGACTATACTGTACCACTTCATAAGATTTTGTCCTATTTAGGAATGTTGATTTCTCTAGATTAATCATGATGACTTACTGTCCTCCTATTTACATATACAGCATAAGTAGCATCACCCAGTCACCTCAAAACCCAAGAGGCTCAGTGCAACAGTCCCAGAGTCATGGGATCATTCACACCTGTGACCGCTCAAACTGCCGGGTGCACAGGGCACATTCTGTGGGTAAAAACGCCCATTTTCTTGTGTATTTATTTAGAGCAGACCCCCAGAACTAGAGTTAAATGTCAGATGTGACAGCGTGTTTATTTAGCTCATAGATAATTAGCCGTTTTGAACCAGATCATGTGTCACGACACTAATTATTTACTTCCCAGAATTGTATTGTATTCTGTGAAAAAATGCATGCATTGAAATCACACTTGGACATTTGTTCCATCGTGACTGGCCTCTGATTACATTTGTCGCAGGTACAATAGTTGTTTTTGATACAGTATGACTCAGTGGAATGAGACCTCTGGCATGTTCTACGACCAACAGCTGACTCAGCATTTTCCACTGTAGGTATAATGAAGAGATTTAAATAGGAACATTTTTGGCATCAACTAATTAAAGAAGGAGATTTAATGGAAATGTAAAAAAAACTACCTAACCACTAAGTACTTTTAAATGGTATGTTTCATGCCACAGAGTCATTAGTCAAACGTATGTAAGGAATTTAATGCGATGTTTGTGCACCATCCAGTCAGGACGACCTGCGGAGTAGTTGTAGTTTGGAGAGACAGATAAATCTGAGGTGAGTGAATCTGTAACACAACCCTCTCTCTGTCTCAGTGATGATCCCAGAGTCAGATGAAACCCAACATGTCTGTGAAAGTCTGAAAGATGATCTGAAGGGTCCAGACCTCTTCTACAGAAGGTAGAAACAGAATTGCTCCAGATGCTCCTGAGTGCATGTCCGCCTGCCTGAGTGTGGATTTCCTCCACTGAGTCGAATGGTTCCACATGGGCCAGTGTACAACCCTGATGTGAATTCCCTGCCATCAGATAACAACCGCTGTGGGCCTGGGGGAAATGTTAAAAATGTGCTGGCAGCTCCGTGCTGGTTTGTGCACTGCTATCTTTATTATTAGCTCTGCACTTTAATATTTAGACACGCTCTTTGCCGTTGCCCAATGGTGTGTTTAAAGGGTTATGAAACTTTACAACGTGAAAGTTGAAACACAAACCCATTATGTGAAATGACAAAACCAGGACCGTGGTTAGAGTCATGGCCTCTCGACGTGACGGTCAGAGACTGAGGCAACTCCAGTGTATCATGTGTATATATATATATATATATATCGTGTATACTGGTAATTTTGCTCCAAATTAGTCCCTTAGTTACCAAATTGTAAAACTAGTGTTGGGTCAATATTAAATGTTTTTAGTTACAATGCAGCAAATTATTCTCATGTTCAGTAAATTCACTAAATTCTATAAAATCTTAATTGGACTTTAATGGCATTCTCACATTTGAATTATGCATCTTATAAAGTTCATTAGTATTTGTCAAAAGTAGACAAAATTAACTCTTTGCATTACAAGACATGTTGATTTGTGATTAGCTATCTGATAGCATATGTTAGCTAGCTCTGTTAGCCAGCGCTACATATCTCTGTGGTTATAAGTCCATAAGAGCTGTCATTTCTATGATCCAACACAGTTAAACTGGAGCCGAGAAGAGCAGCTAACGTAACCTGGAAGGGTTATGAAAAGAGCATGTACCAAATTCACATTTGTGTTAGTACTAACAAGATAAGCCCATCACTTTGTGGAGTTTTTTTCTGCCAAAGGCAGTAACTTTTAGTGCATTAGAGAAAATCCCTTTCATCCAATAACTGTGTTAAAAGATCCAGGGAGGTAGGAGACAGAAGAGTGAAGGTAAGACGCGCTGCTGGAAAGTGTGTAACTTCTTAGCCTTCAGGTAGCATTAAGTTAGAGACCACCATGTTTCTCTGGTTAACAGAGCCACATTGGCTCAGGTCTAATGTAGTTATCACTGCAGCAGAGCGCTTCTGTCCCTCTGCCTTTAACTGCATCACCAAACTACAGGGTTTTAATTTCCAGAAAGTGGCCTAATTCTCAAGCAGAAATTGTGTCAAAAAGTTGAATATTAATATCTTCAGAACATCCCATAAACACAGTTGTCCTGTTTTTGTGAGGTTTTGAAATTTTGTTGTTCTGAAGTGCGCTCGATTTCACCGTCCAAACCGAATTTGCTCAGCCTAGAACAATGTCTGTTTCTATTTTCCTGAGAGGAAATCTAATAATGTGAATGATGTAAGAAAGCAACTCTGATCAAAATTTGAAATGTCTAAAATGTCGCTACGCAATTATAATCACAGGCCGGACCCAAAGGCTTGCTGTTAATGGTAATGGAAACCATGTTTTTTATTCTTTCTACTCATTGTGATTTCTTTTTCTTTTTTGGACATTTAACAAATGATTGGTAACAGATTGAAGAGTGACCTAAATCAAGGCAGATTAGGCCCGAGGTTTAGATTCATTAGAGGGGATAAAGAAGTGGTGAGTGAGGGGAAAAGACCGATGTCCTGGAGCAGAGGCTGAGACAAACTCACTTGGATTACAGATGAAGGAGGACCAGGTGTTGGCCTCTGGTGTGTGTGGGTGCAAATAAGTTAAAATAACAGGGAGGTGTTGACGTTTGGTTCACGCCGTCCTTCAACCTGGGATCCATCATTATGAATGTAAAAGTTTTCAACAGTCCTCCTCACACACACTTTCCTCCTCATCTTATCTGTTTTTCTCAGTGTCTGGAATCCAGAAGCTATGTTGTAATTAGGGATTGGAATGTACTCTCATGATGAACGCACATACGCTGGTTTTATTTCACTTTGTGATTGTCTCTATTGCTTCCAGAGGAGCGTGATGCATTTTTCCAGTCCATCACCAATTCATCATCATCTTTTCAAACCTCTCATGTTCTCCAGCTAGACACTTTTTCACTCATGTTTCTACTTCCTCTGTAATGAATTTCATCTGAGGCCTGCAGCTAATTATTTGTTACTTGAGGTTTCCATTTATAATCACTTCAGTTCTCAAGAAGACAACTCAAAAAAGACCCAAGTTGTGACAGATTTCTTACTTTTATTTCATAGACCCTGGTCTTTGGCTTACGCCACAGACGTTCTAAGGGATTTGATTCAGGGCTTTGTGCAGGGCGTTAATCACATTCGTACGAGCTTCTGGAGTTGGTTCTTCAACGTCTGTGAAGAACAATTTTGGTGTGAGGTTTTTCTTGATCTTCACCCTCACAGTCCATTCCAGTGCAGGTCCTTGTGACCTTACTTTTCTGAACTTCCATGTTCAGTCATTAACTGTTTTTTGACACTCATTCTTCAGACTGCGCTCTTATTCACTTCTTATTTACAGCTTCACTACTTTTGTTCTCTGTGGATCTCTTTAAGCGTCTTAAAAACACCATTAACAACACTAGTTATTGACCATTGAAAAAGTTTTGATATCTTCACATAGTGTCTTTCTTCTTTATGAGCTTTCCAAAAATATTTTTCAAGTTGTTTTTTTGACATGATGATTATTCATGTGACAGCTCAGAGGCCAAAACCAAGCTCTAATATTTTTCTTTCTTTTTCAGAAAAAAAACCTCAGTGTGATCAAAATCTCTTTCATGAGATGTTGGTCCTCAGTGCGAACCAGGCAACACATAACAAATATGGAAAAGAAATGCTGTTTTATAAAAAAGGTAAAATAACCATAGAAACACACAATAAATAAGAATAAATATTAAAAAATAATAACCAAATGACCTAGTTAGAATTATGTAATGGTACACTGATGAGACAGGTCAGTGTAAATCAGTTAGCCCAATTCCAGACAGATTACTTTTACCCAAAGTTGTTAGCAATTGATTTAAACCTCCAGAGAGAGTTAGTCTTTAGGTCGTAAATGTTTCTACAGATGTTTCTGTACTAACGCAGTGGCATCATGACAGGAGGAACTTTATCCCACTTCTGAATATTAATTTTTTTTTTATCATATTCTCCTTGGAGACTTGATCTTGCCCTTATTAGTTAAAGCCTGGATTGTTTCGGCACTGATTAATTCTCCATCGCTGTTTCACGTTATTGGCGACAGATGTTTCTGGCTGTAAATATTACATAGAAGTCGTTAAAGGTCCTCAGAGTGTAGTGACTGTGTCTCTACCAATTTGTCCAACCCAATCTCTGTGAATGTGTTGACCCTGGTGATGAGCTACAAGATTACAGTAGGTTAGAATCTTAAGAAAAAAGGTCTCTCCAAGTTTCTTTGAAAACTTAAAAAAAAAACTTTGCACCAATGGCGTATATTTCGGTAGCAGCAGGAGCTAACATAGCTTTATATAATCACGGAATGTTATTAAAATTATTACAATATGTTGAGTAAACTAGACTGTGACTTCTGTTCAGTCAAAAAACCCAAAACAGTGACAGTAACATCCTTATAATTTCATGTTCGTCACACTGCCTGTTGGCTTAATGGATTCCCTTGAATTTAAATGTGAACTGTATGAAAACAACCCTTTAAAAACTGACAGTGATGCACAAGACAAAAAACAAAACGTGCCTAACCAGAGGCATTGTGTACTTTCCACATTAGCCAATGAGTAAAGTATGTACCACAGTCAGATTGTTTTTCATAGATTAGGTAGATGTTGGCTTGTTCTGGTGAACACATGTTTGGTGTGGTGTTAAAAAGAAAAGACTGTTACAGACTTGTAGAAACCCATCCTTGTCTCGGATGGACAACGTGTCTTTTGGCTACATTGATCCACACTATACGGTGAGAGAGGTTCCTCATGAGTCAAGTGGAACTTGTGGTTATTTATAGTCACGTGGCATGTATTTTTCTTCATTCTTCACAAGTCTGACAGAGTTTAAGGATCTAAACCCTTAAATCCTAAAAGTGACTCTAAAGCAGTCACAGACTATTGTCTCCATGTGATGTCTCTCCAGTATTAGGGGCTCTTGCCTTTGAGGATACAAAAATACTGCGTCGAACAGCGAGAGGGTTTGACAGGGGTTGAGTAGATTTATCCTTTAAACATATGTGACTTCTTTGTCTGAAAAAAGCCTCGGGAAATGTGTATTTTCTTTCCCATGCTTTAATTCAATTGGCTAGACCCTTAGCAGTATATCTTTGGAAAAACACAGACACAGTAACAATGGTTTGTGTTGTGTGCACCACAACATTTAGCCTACTTATGAGCAGGATACGCTCCTTCCTCTAAGTACATGTGCAGATATGTGGGGGGTCAGAACTGTGGCTAGGGTGGGTTTTAATTCCTGGCTCCTTCTGTCTGTGTTTACTGTGTTTTTGAGAAAGACTTCTTCAATTAAAGGGACAGTCTAGAATGTCTGTGTAGACATAAGGTAATTATTTGAAAATGATCAGCTCTGACCTGGGGTACTAGTATTCTCCAGGTACTTTGGTGTACCTGTGAAGTCAAAACTCATGCAGGATTAATTGTTAATTGTTTAATTAGTTAACTGTTTTGTCCAAAGCAATGGATTTGAGTGCAAGTGGTTAGCCTATAAAGAGTCAAGGGCCAGAAATGCTACAACTTAACACATCTGCACGTGTTAGTGTTTAGTCGTCACTGGTGGCTCATGCTGTGGCAGCTACATACCCTGTGGTCCTCCTGAGCCTCCCACTCTGGCGTATAGCTGTGAACCTGAGTCCCAGGAGTGCAGTTAGCAAACTGGAAGAGGCTGGCGAATGCACGATGGTTCTCGACTGTGTCGGGGAAGATGGGGTCCTGGAAGTTCACTCCATGAGGGACAATGTTGTAGTTTTCATCCATCCTACAGACATAAATTCATACATTCATAAAACAAAATTTGAAGGTGACCTTTCAACACATGGTTTTACACTAGATGTATAAAAACTGAACAGAGCCCTGAAACATTCTAAATGATGTTCTTTTTAAACCTTGAATTGAAGAGCTTCACAGACAGCTTACAACACAGACTTTACATTTTATAGAAAATTACTTAAAATTCACATCTGAGACCAAAGGATCATCTGGACTATATTAAGTCAATATAATTTATAGTTGTAGTAATAGACCCATATTTCCACATTGTACAGTGTATAGAGCAGTGGTGGACACCATGCAGTAAGATTCTGTTTTGCACAACACAAACACACTCGTGGCAGGACCAAATGTTGCAGCTCACACAGTGGGTGTTAGCACTGAGCCTGTAATTCCCTCCGTTTGTCTGTGTATGTTTTGAGTGAGGGCTGCAGACTTTGGTGAGCTGGGTCAGTAATAACCAAGTCATCTGACTCTGTGAAGCCACTGCAAATAAACACTGGCAATTTTCAGGAAAACAGCTTAAGTTGAAAATTGTTGTTTAATCTCCCTGAGGCAGAGTAAAACGACACTAGAGAGTGCTTTCCAAGACTTTGTGTCCACGAGTTTTAGATGTTTGGAGAAACAGTGACCTTTGCATGTACTAGGTCGTTGTCAGTGTTTATGATGAACATGATAATGGAAATGTGCCATACTCAAAGTATACCTGAGTAACTTTTGTACATTTTTTTAGCATATGTTTGATTTTTTGTTTAGTCTACCATACCTTGAGTTCATTATTGTCACCGTGCACATGGACGTTCAAACTAGACTCTGAGTTTCTGAAGCTGCAAGCACACATGTTACCATTCAAATGGCTGGATTCTAGAGCTTAAACCCAAACATTTGTGCATATTCTGAATTGTTAGCAGAACCCAAGTCTGATACTGTTCAACTTCAGGCATTTTATTGATGATTCAATCCAAATAATGACAACCCAAGCTGAAACACTGGGCATGCTTCATGTCTTCTCCTTGTGATGTCAAGAGCGTTTCCATACATCTGCACTTCATAATAAATCCCTTGTGGGACGTTAGAGAGTTTTGTCATCCCTGTCAGACTGTGTGGCTGTGTGCGTTGAAAAAGAAAGGCACTGCTGACGTGTTTTTTCACCAGAGGCTTCTCAAAGGTCAGGTATCAACACAGTAACCAGGATGTCAGGAGAACTCGATGTCCTCAGAAACTTGACTAGACATTAACACGCCGAAAAAGTAAATAAATACAATAATACAGACATACAATCTCCTGTGTTTACATGGCACACTTGTGGATAAGCGTGACTTCTCATCAAGTTACAAAAACATTGCTTCCAGCACCAGGATCTATTGCTTTTCATTTACAGTCATGTGGCTGAATCTAAGACCCTTTTATTCATTTGTTTTCTTTTGAAAAAAGTCCAGTGAGGTCAGATATAGACTCAATTTTTCACAGTGGACATTTGGCTGACGCAGCACACTTTATCTGCCTTCTTTAATGCTCCTCAGGGAGATCTACCCGTGCATTTTTCTCCATGTGCAGCCCTGATTCGCCCTGTCCCAGGAGCTTCAGTATCTGTGATGGATTAGAAAAAGTGTTCTGGTCAGAGACAGTGTTGTTGAGGCTTCGTAGCAGGAAATGGACGTCTGCTGGAGACAGCCTAGAGAACCCTTCAGTTTTGGCTTCCAACAGTACAGTCGTTGAAGCTCTGCTACATGTCACTGTGAATATTTGGGCATTATTGTGCCAAATAACAGATCAGACAAAGCTTTAATGAAAGGTACTCCGAAGCAATAAAGGCCCATAGAAAATGATCTGTGCATGGTCCACGTCCAGCAGCTTTGTGTTTACAGTTGTTTCCCCAAATATTTAAACACTTTTCCAGAAACTGTGGGTCAGTTTCTCAAAACCCCAACTGAAGAGACTTAAACTTCACGAATCTCTGCCAAAGTCAAACACAGCGACTCGGATCTCTAATCTCTCTTCTCAAAACAAATTTATTCCTCCAAAAATATACACAAAGGTTTTATATGCTCATATCATGGAGAGCTTTGAGTAAACATAGACTTAATCGGTCAAAATCATGAGCATGAAAGTGCTTCATGTGTGTTTTAGCATCACTATGATTGTGTTTAGATTTAAACGTGGGTGGGATTGAACCTTGACCTGATGCCAGGTCAAGGTTCAATCCCAATTGTACCATGAAAATTAAACTTTACTGTAGTTTACTGTAGTAGCTTGTCCACTTCGCCCTCCATAGAATTGTTTCTATGGAATTACAATGATCCCTTCACAGCTCCAGTTAAATGTGTAAAAAAAGAGCCTAGAAGAATATTTCAATATAATTATGCAGATATATGAACAGTAAAAAAATTTAAATGTGTGTTGTTTATTCAGCCCTTTTCCGCCCCGTCTCCTCCAACACTGTGTTCTGCTCTGGACCTTTAATGGTTTTAAGACAGTGTTCCTCTGCAGAACACAATCACACACATCTGTACGGTTTTACATACATGATGTGTAACATATGGTATGAAAACACCATTGATGTTGACCCCGGTGCAGGCTAGACCCTAATGTGGGGCAGCCAAGCATTAAACTTGAGGAATGCCTTTCAGCTGCCCCCTGCCCAATGACTAACTCTTCTTCTGTTTGAGAGGAGAGGCAGACTGTGAGAAATATCAGTACAGCCTGTCAGCACAGGCCGTCTATCTGTGCAGTGATCATCACTGGTTTATTTCAGCAGTGCTGGACTGTCTAGAAGGAGGTCCCGTAGCCACTGCTGGCATGCTGACACTGTAACTGTAAAGTCAAATTCTGTGCTGGTTCACCTTCAGCTGTTGAGAAAGGTCTGGCTCTGCAATTACACTGGCAGGGATGCAACAGTTTCCTGAGCAACATTGTTGTTTCTGTCCAACACCAGTTTAATCTTTTGTTTTAATCTAAGTGGAAACCTTGGCAGCTTATTAAGTACATTATTAAACTGCAATCATCACATCGTCAGACACAGATTAAAAGCGAGAGGGTGTGGATTTTTTTGCCACAATCTGCCTGTAGAGAAATGTTTTCTCACTGGCGAATTTTTGATGGAAGGCTTTTCAAGTCACACTTTTCTTTCAGTCCTGCACAGGTTTAAAGAGTCACTGGCTATTCTTTACACCAGGAAAACTCACAATAATACAAGTATTAAGTACAATAATCAAACTTCTACACATTAGGACTGTCGACCAAAACATATCTGTCAAACCCAGAGTTGATCCAAGAGTCAGGATTTAAGAGTTTTATTTTTTCCACACACAGTTATACACAACACTATGTGCAGTCAACTTTTGTTTTTGTACCTGCATCCATTTCAAACAGAAATTAAATTATTATATAATATATTTACAGCATATATAGAAAAGAGCAGGGTATTACATCTGAAATTATACCCCTCCACCCCGAAGGAACTATAACCGAACCACCAAAGCCACAGAAAGTAAGTGTTACCTCATGCAGACCAAACACAACATCTATGATGTGAGGACACATCTCCTCATTGTCCAATTCATACTTTAGCCAATCCTAGCTGAAGTTAAATAGAACACGGTGAACACCTCATACCTGATCACATGAACCATAGGGGAAAACCAAGTAATTGAGGGAAACCTGTGCATGCAAGGGGTGAACTTGCAAATGGGACAGAGTAAAACCACCTGGCTGAGCCAGGATATAAAACTGGCGACCTTCTTGCTCTAATGCCCCAGCTCTTACAACTCCTAAACCATACAGCTCTTCACCAAAATGCCTCACTTCACCCTACACTAACCTTGCCCTAAAAAGGTCCTTGACCCTCGAAGAGTTAATTGAAACAACATTTCATGTTGTCCTAAATGCCTGACAAAGACATGCATGTGTGCATACACACCACACAAACCTGGCCTCCATGAGGAAGCCATAACGGCCAACCACAGTATTTTACCTATCAGTGATTTTACGACCGTTCTCTTGTCTGGTTTATACATTTACCTTTCACAGATGCGTAGTGTGTCTCAGAGGTTGGCCAAACTTTAAATCTGAAGCCAATGGTGATGTAAGTCAAGTGTATGAATGAGAGACAGCTGGAGGTTCTTGTCTTCTCTGCAGTCCTAACAGCCTCTGCTCCAAAACCAAATAAAATTTAACTACTTGAAAATATACATTTGCGGCTTTGATGTTCCAACATGTTTTCCTGTTGCTCTGTTGAACATTCACACTTCTGATGGAACAGTGCTCATTATTACCAGAGCAAAAATAATTTACAATACATATTTTCATGAGATATTGTTTGGGGGGAAAAAATTCTCTCTTAAAGACAATTCTAAGTTTTAATTTTACCATGTTTTGTCTCAGCCACAGTGTGTTGAGAAAGATAATTGGCAAAATAGAAGGCTGCAGAGTAAGGCAAACTCCACACATCCAAGCCATGACTGAATTATGATTATGACATAGAGAAAGATAACAAATACTGAAGTCTTGACAAACTAAATCATATTTATTTATTTAAATAGCAAAGCAATATCACTACATATATTCCATTTAAGTCCAAATTTGAAATCGAGATCCTTTCAAATGTTCTTCAACTTTCGGGAAAAGAAACAATAAATGAAATGAAGCTTGATCAACACCTGATGCATAGCTAATTTCAAATATGTTCATTTTATTGAGGGTGGAAGAACCTAGTCGAATAAAATGTAATAAAAAATAAAATTTGTCAAAGCTGTTCGAGACACTTGAAAGATGTCTCTGAACACGTTTGAGTGATTAAAATCAGATGGCTTTAGAAGTAATAACATCTGGGATAGGACCTTTAACTGCCCTCATAAGGTCTTATAGGACAACAATATGCACAACTGGGGAGATGAATCCTTCCAGGGTAGAAAGAAGTATAAAGGGCCACAAATATGAAAAAATAAAATAAAATAAAAAAATACACATAGAGGTGCAAAACTTGGTCTTGGACCCTGACATAAAGGTGCAAAACTTGGTCTTGGACCCTGAGTACACTTTTCTCTATCTATCTATCTATCTGATCTATCAGATCTGCTCATGTCTGTCTGTCCTTAAACGTCCTTTCACCGTATGTCAGAATGACTTTGTTGTAATTGTAACTAAAGATAATCTCGTGTCTCACCTTAAGAAGAAGTAGTAATTATTGTTTTTGATGACACTGTATGAGTAGCAGGGGAAGTATCCCAGACCGCTGACATTAAACCTGGAGCCGGCCGGGACCTCCAGCATGCTGCCCCACGCCTGGTCACACTGCAGCTCGATCTCTGCAGAGAAGAGCAGGTCCGAGTCCGGCTGCTGCCACGGCAGGTAGTTGTACACACTGTACGACTCCTTGTGCAAGGCCAACACCTTGGCAAAGACTATGATCTCCGCAAGCTCGGCTCGGCACGCTTCTGTCTGCGGTCTCCAGTCGTGGGCCAGCTGGCATCCCCAGTTTCCATCGACACCAGCCGCTGCCACCGCAAACGCCAGAATAATCCACATGGTCCCACCGAGTGTGCGGGTGCACCGAGGCTGATGATGGATGAAGAACACTACGGACAAACAAGAAAGAAACCTACTGCAGTGTGTTCACTCCATGCATTTACTCCCAACAACTGCTCTACCAGCCTAAGCAGTAAACCCTTCACAGACTGATGCTGGTCCTCTATCTGTGGTCCTCAGTTCCTCTGTAGGTGGATCAGCTCATTCACTCCAAGCGGCAGCATCCACTGCAAAACTTTGCCTCAGCTTCAGTCAGATATGACGCCAAAGTCGGAAAAAAGCCCGTATAAGTAAAAGAAACCAACGACTGTAATAACTTTCTGGTAGTAATAACAAACAGTGGACAGCTCCACCAGTCAGTGATGTAATGTCGTACTTAAACAATGCTTGGCTTCTCACTACAGAACAAAAAAAGGAAATTTTAGAAATACATTTCACGAGCTATACTGCCCTCTAGTGGTAATGTATTGGTCTATAAAATGTGTAAACTGGAGCTGCGCTTCAAGTCTTCTTCGGGTCACTTCTTTCTCTGTAGGTTTAGAAATAAGCAAGTGGACTCGTAATAAACTCTGAAATCCCTGTCGTCCATGACGCGCTACCAGGTTAGAGTAAGGGTTGTATCAACATCAGAAATACTTTATTGGTTGATTGTTGAAAAGAGTTTCTAAAGAAGTTGTTGCATGTTTTTAAACAGTACTTGAAAAACCCTTATGAATAAAAGTATCAGGAAAGTACTAAATACTTCATTTTAATTGTAGTTAAGTTAAGTTAATGAAGTAATTTTTTCTGCTTGAATATTTAATTTTATTGGCGAATAAAAAGTTAAATGAAAATATTTATTTGGAAATATTTTGGTGGAACACCAACGGTTGTTGTAACTTTGACGTCTGACGACATACTTCCTATTTCCGACAGCAAGTGAAAGCATCACACTAACAGAAGGCTGTGACTGTTACGACTGAACTATTTAGCTTTAGCACGTTAGCAGGAAGCTGCCACCGACAGTTTATACAACTCTCATCTCAACATGTAAGTCTGCATCGTTTATCAAACTCTTTTTATTTTAAGCTTTTGAAACTTAAATATTAACACAACAACCCAGCTGTTTGTGTGCAACAGGATCACAAGAAATGAAGCAACGCCCAAAACTTGGTGGCTAAGTTGCAACAAGTGCTACATTCGTATATTTGTTTTGTTAAACACGACGTCGTGTTGTATTTTTTTCTATAACACAACCACTATTTCCATTTACTTATGATCGTAATTGTTTTAACATCTGATAGCTAAACACTGAAGTCGTAGTAAGGCTTAGAGGAAGTTCATTTGCTAGCTTATCTGTTTGCGCAAGGCAGTGTAATTTGACTTAAGGACCACTTCACATACAAAAAGTTACGTAGTGTATTTACTACTCTGTAAAACAGAATTAAATAACTTAGAATAGGACGCTATTATGTCCAGGAAAAGTTGTCCATTTTTGAACGCTCAAATACGTATTAGTTGTCTTATATCCAGTTTATGGTGATGTCAGACTAAAACAAGAAGATGAACAAACTTCTTTGCTGCAGAAAATGAACACGAGCGTTCATATAACATCTCCGTTTTTTGTCACAAGACTTAACAATAATCAGATACAGTATGTGTGGCGTGACTGTGACTTTTGATGGCTGTAACACGGTGCAATGTTATGCTTGACAACTACAGCTATTTACTGTTTCTCTGAAGTCTCGTGATGGGGTCAGTGAAATACTTTTCTATAAAAAGACAAACTTGTGGGAAACTTAATCATTTTCCATCTGAAGCTGATTGAACCTTGATAACTACATCATACCCTGTGAATGGCTTTCACATTTCCTTCAATCATTTAAATCCTTATGTGTGACTGTATAAAATGGCAGTGCAATGTTACAGAGATTATCACATGGTTTTTATCCCATATTATAAGCGAGATTGTAATAAAAATTACAATTAAATAAGTATTTTTGTGTTTGTCTGATAGTGACAGTGTCCTTAGGAAGCCTGGTATGAGGGATGCCTGTGGACTTTTGTTTTTATTTCCTAGAGTTTCACATATTCTGCAAATACTGAAAATGATGTTACTATCAATCATGTTTTGGCATATGATAGAAGTGGGTGCTAAATCAGTTTCCTGTATAGTAGTTATTTCAGAAATTCAGAAGATCCCAGCAAAAACATTATATATAACATATAGAAATACAACATTTCTATACGTGTGTAAAAAAAAAAACGTGCTCTCGCAGATTTCTACAGTATGTCACTGGCTCTGTCTCTTCAAGTAACAGAAGAGGGAGGGTTTGAGGTTTGAATCAGTAATCACATGTGACCAAGGCATGTTCAATCATGTAATTAGGGTCAGTAGACATGCCCTGAACTGTTCTAGTGTCAGATTGATGCACGTTTGTTAGATCAAATTGTGTGGACAAAGAGATCTTGTTGTTACTTATTTGGATCACTGTTGTTACTACTTAGGTCAAATGACAGTTGCTGTCACAGGTATCCTTCAGATACATCTCCTAACAGTAGTGACGCAATTAAGACAGCACTGCTGTCACACTATATGGACTCACGTTTTTGATGCTCTCATTGCACGTGAACACGTGAACTGAGGTGGGCCTACTGTGGTGCGTCATTTTTTTAATCCAGTCTACTCTGTGTCAGTGTTGAAGAACCCTAAATTTATCAACAAGGACACGTAGACCATGCACATGTACAAGTGCACATGACATGGGTATGTGCTGTTACTCGTTCTCCTCAGCATCCTGACGATATGTAGTAGGATGACTTTGATTTCAGCTTAAGCCCATAAATAATGTAGAAAAATAATGTTGTAGCCTGCCCATAGTATTTTTGAGCTGAACTGTTTTGTCAGCAACTTAAGACATTAAATCTAATACATATCATGAACTACTGTGGCTTCACCATTAATTGAAGCTCTGTGTCAGCTAGAAGATGACATAGATTCTGTATTTGGGTGACTGCCTTAAGTAACTGGCTCACTTATTCCTCTTCATCCTTGCCAATTTCTCATCACATCAAATTGCCTTAGCCCCAGTGCTGCTTAGATTTATAAATGTCAGGACAATTAGTCCAGTGTGTAAGTAAATCTTTATATTCAGGTAAAGAATGATTGTTTAAGCTTAAAGACATCAGTTTTATTTTGCTTGGTTATCATGTCTGCTGTCAGGAATGCTTCTTTATTTCAGGAGCAGTTCAGTCTCACGTCACATGGGGGCAGTAATTAACTGCCGTACTTTCTCTCCAGTTGTAAACTTATTTCGTTCACCACTAAGGATAAGATCAAGTAGGGCCACGCTAATGACTCTTCTAACTGAACACTGAACTAAGAGGCATGCCAGCGAACAACATGTTATGCAGAACACGACGTCACATTAAAATAAAAACGTTTTTCAACGACTTTACACTGTATTGCAAATAAAAAAGCTTCCTTTCACTCTGATGGCATGCTTGCTTGAGCGTGTCCGGGTGACTACTGTTGTTGTTGTGTAGACACGTGAAAATGCAACCTGGTCGGCGGGCCTGTCAGTCCTCTCTCACAGCAGAGCAGATGGGGTGATAAGATTGGTGGATACGTTTGGTTGCACATATTGTCAACACCTAATTTTTATATGTATTGCAGATTTACAAGCACGTGGACAATTAATGTAGGGTTAAATTAAATGCAACATTGAAATTCAATTGCAAGGTTCTGTTCTATGCATTTGTTTGTGACTGGTTGTTGTTTTATCTTTTTCAGGTCAGCCCCCGTTCCAGAAGGCTCTGGCTTAGCCCCAGGCAACAAGCGCCTGCAACAGACACAGGCTCAGGTGGACGAGGTATGATATGTGTCTTTTTACACCACCACAAAGTTATTAAAGGAATAAACTTCACTGGCGTTTTTACATCTTATCACAATGGATCCTTATTGGATGGATTTAAGATCTCCTCCCGTTAACAAATGGCAAAAAAGGTGCTATGTAGGGGATAGATATCCATGACATTAACAATTATATTTTTAAATTATTTTAAAGAATGTATAAAAAGATCAGAATTAAAACAAAAATGTCCCCAACTCTCTTTCTTCCTTCCTCCTTAAGTTAGCATTAGCGCTCCCTGACTTCCCTGTTCCTTCGTGTCTGTCTTAACCAGAGACTTACATAACACATGATGACAGCAGTCACGATGAATCACCAGTGTGGAATCGATAGCTCTTTATTTCTCTGTGTCAGTGAGGCAGCTCACATGTCAGGAAACATGCAGAGCCGTATGGTGGGCATGTTTTCAATGTGTATTTACTGACATATATTTGAATATTTTACCAACTGCTTGTCACCTTTTGGCTACTACATAGCCTTACCCTCAGCCGTGAATCCTATGAAATTAGCCCCTCCTACTGAAAACCTTTGACCTCAGCACACCACACAAAGCTTGCAATTGGCTGGCCATAGTTTATATAATCACCAACTCTATGGTTATGTAAGGTCTGCGTGGGCTTACACACTCTGCCCCACCCTGCAGCACTGTCTGAGAGGTGGGGCAATAAGTCAGGTTTGTGGATCAGTGGAACATTTTATTGGGACATGTGAACACATTTATGTCTGGTACTATAGTACCATTCTCCTTGAGCACATTGAGTGTAGTGAAGTGTTTTAACTGTTTAGACTAGTTACTTAACATATGACATCACTGCTCTCACTTTCTCTTTCTATGTCTCTCTCACTCTCCAATGCAGTCACTATATAAGGTTTGGTTATTGTGTGATTCTCAGGACTATTCTATTCACTTAAATAAATAAATAAATCATTGTTATATTTCCCCTGGGTTGAAAAATCTATGTGGCCAAAGGCTACACCACTGCACATGCAAAAGGTACCAATTAGAAGTGATTGTGTTTAACCTCATATTTCTATTTATCCTTTCTGTTTTCATGGGTAGGTTGTGGATATTATGCGCGTTAATGTGGACAAAGTACTGGAGCGTGACCAGAAGTTGTCAGAACTGGACGATAGGGCAGATGCACTGCGTGCAGGAGCTTCACAGTTTGAGACCAGTGCTGCCAAGCTGAAGAGGAAGTACTGGTGGAAGAACTGCAAGGTCCCAAATTACTGAGTCTCACAATTCAAAACTAAAAGAGCTGCAGTATTATCATTACTAATTTAACCTCACTGCCATTTTCAGATGTGGGCGATCCTGATAGCAATCATAGTGATCATCATCATCATCATTATCAGTGAGTGTTTATCCAATGCTTAGAATATAATTAATTAGTTTGGATGACATCATTTTGCACTGTTAAATTAGTGATATGATTGCAGCAATGCTTATTTTCTAATTTTTTGTTCTGCATCATTCAGTTTGGACTCAGACATCAAATTAGCTCTGGGAAGAAGTGAAGAAAAAACTGAAGATGAGAAGAGCAACAACATGCACACTATTCTCAGTGGAAAAGGTCACATGATTACTGGCTACTGAACTCCAAAATATTTCTCCCCTCCCACAGTGGGTGTTCATTCCTCGTCCTGAATCACCATGGCTGTGTCTGTGTGTGTCCTTGTGTGGTCATCTTTGTGCCTAAGGTAATAGATTTTTACAATGTCATGGTCACCATACTTGATCTTTAGTGTAAGTGCCATGCAACGTGCCAAAGAAGGTGGACTCATACACATGAGAACAGGATCAATATATTTATTGATTACTCATTTAAGAAGTATAATATTATTGACTCTTGTACAGCAAACACACACATACACACATTCTACACTCAGGACGAGAAGTGAAAAATATTGTTGTAAAGTCTCTTACACTTACGCCTGCCTTTTGTGTTCTTACTGTATAAATATTGTTAGCTATTGATTTTGTGCGTTAGTCTAAGATAAGTGCCTCTGATGATATTGATGTGTCAATTTAGTCTCATTCTGACACAATAATTCAGCATTTCATTGAAAGAAACGATTACAGTTTTCAACCTGCACTGTAAATATTTCTGCTTTTCAGAGAGTATTGCCAAAATCACTTTTAATTAGATTTTTACTACTTGTAATTTACAGTTGTCTGTCTACTGATGAATGTTGGTAGTTAATATCTTTTTCTTCATTTCTATTAATTTTCTAGTTACATACAAAAATATTTTCCCGCCCAGCATCAAAGATCAGAGATAACCATCTTATATCTTATCTTAGCATTGAACTTATGTGCCTGAGAAATCAATGACCTTACAGCATCATGTGAATTTGAAAAGAAACTCAAGTGCCACACCCAACATTGGGTATGAAAACAAAACAGGTGCTTTCCATGATGCATTTTCTTCAGTGAAATATTTACTCAAAACATGTACTGCTGCTGTATATAACTGAAGTATGAATCTTAAGTAGCAACAATTGTACAGTTAAATTAAAGGCTTTGCAAAAAAGAATACACATAATGCAGATGAAGCCTACTAGTCCAGTAAATGAAGTTAAAAAGTGACAGCTTAGTCCCACTGACTTTCACTGTAAAAAATACAAACCACCACCATTTGTTACATCATAATCCAGAGACACAATAACACCAACAACTGGAAATTACACACCGTAGCTTAAAAGAGTGAGACTTTCTGAATTCTCTGGCCATTCTGACAAACACTGTACAGTTATATTTTGGAGTCACTGGCATTTATCCCCTGAAGGATCATGTGTGATGTTACACTTACTAGCTTTCTAACAATTTCTTTCGTCTGATTTCTAATTTATGTAGAACTAATCTTAATAGTTTGTTCACTCCTGATTGGCAACATTTATGTTGGTGGGAAGAAAAACTCAGTTGTTTTTGCATCCTCTGGCTTACATCTTTTAAAATAAAAATTTCAAATTATATTCCATATTATTTTGTAAAGTATTTCAGTTTTCTGTTATTTTCATCCATGTTAGATTACACTGTTTTTTGTCAAAATAATCTGGCATTAATTACTTTTCTTTGGAAGATTTAGTTACCCTGATAGGTGAAACTCAAATAACATAACATATAGTCATGTGTTATTGTCATGATGTAAAAATGCCAGTCAGGAAATTTTATTATATTTTAATGCCTACTAAAATATCATCATCCTCCTTTCCATGTATACATAAAATATTTAAATAATTTTCTCCACGTAAGTGCAATTTTACTCTTTGACCCACATTGCCTTTTGTTTGAAATAAATAAAAAAAGCTTATGGTGTCTTGCTTAAGTGGTGTTTTTGTTGTTGAAGTCTGACAGAATAAACATCAAGTTAGGTGTTGATTATTTATTGTGTGCAACCATAGTCACCTTAATCAGATTGTTTACAGCAAACATAATTCAAAAATATACTTATTTCAGGATGCACCTGCAAATTAGCTGCAGATTTCTGCCAATTTGGACAGAAATATATTGCTAGAGAGACAGATTTTGTTGGCTGAAGTTGACAGTGTTACACTGTTGAGAACTTCTGGGTTAATACTGGTTACACCCGGTTTAAATGGATTATGTTTACAAGTTAAAAGGATGGTGAGAAGGATTTGCAAGGACCCTCCAGATAAACATACAGCAGTATGTCCCAGTAGCTTACTATTGCAAACGTTTTTGAGTGAAACAAATTTGGAGTAATTGTTTCTTTTAAAAGAGTGACATTAAAGACACATTACAGACACAATAAAATCTGCTTAAATATGTTTAGTCCTGTGTGCAAGGTTCAAGGTTAAGTACGCTTTTTACAGAACGAGGTTACACCTGCGATGGAGTGTTTGGGTCTTTTCATGCACCAGCAGTGGGCGGGTCCCTGCTTGGAGCTGCAGACCTCACTGGGTGCTGCCGCTCGCGGCTGTTGCGCTTTTCTGTTGTGTAACATGGACATCCACGTGAACAGCGGACAAGCCTCTGGCTGCTTTCTGTACTTGTGACACGCCTACGCTCAGACGTATTGTCCAATCACTTTACGGAAGTGAATTACTCTCGCTCAATCATAGTGGAGTAGGCGCGGTTACTCAGTGCCGGACTCACGTTGCACAAATGTGTCAAGCGTTTCTCTGTAAATGGCGATATAGCTACGTGACGGAGCCGAATTTGACCAGAAATCCTCTATCCTGACATATCTTGGAATCTATCTAATATCCCTATCGTTTTTTAAGACAACGTGGAGCTGGAGCACGTCGACACAGAGGTAAATATTTCTCTACATCATTAGTTTTATGCATTGTCGTCAACGGCTAAATAGTTGAGCTAGCTGGAGCACCTCGCCCCGCGGCACGGGCTATAGGAAACAAGTGGTGTAAACAAACCTTTTCATAGTTTTCTTCCTTCATATTTAGACATTTTTCTTAGTGTGTTTTGTGTAGTGTTGTTTGACCCTTTTAGCGGTAACGTGTGACTTTTGTTTGTGTAGTTGCTGGCTAGCTGCTTGGTTAGCCAAACGGCGCGTTTGCTCATGACGAGTGACGTGAGACTAACGTAACATCAGCAGGAGTTTGTGAATGTAAAAGATGAAGATAATGGCGACTTTACATCGATAAAAAATCATAATAATCACATTAATAACTGTGCAGACAAAGCTGGCAACAGATAATAACATTGTCCTCACAATATTATATATATAAACGTCATATTCTCATCAGCAGCATGCATGTTCATCAATGATATTTAACTGACTGCATTTCTTGGTTTATGTACAAATCATTGTCAGACAGAGTTTGCCTTTTTTCTTTTTCTTTTTACAATTGTGGAGACCAAAAGTCTCTAATTAAAATTGTTAATTTATCAAAACATGTTGGGCTGCAATTTAAGTTAAGGTTTTTTGTGACTTTATTCAAATACATACTTGGTGTAATGTGAATATTATCGTTATTATTATCAACTCAGTTGTTATAGTATGTGCAATATAGCATGAATATTTAAAAATAAAATTTAAGTTTAGGTGTCTGCTAAAAAACATTAAAAAACAGATTAATGAGCTTGAACATTATTGAAACAAATTGCCCATTTTGGTACTCAAACATATTGTGAAAAATTTGATTTTTTTAACTAATTCAGTGTAAATTAATTTGTGTTTTTAATAGTAACATTTAACTTCTTAAGTTGTCATTTATAATATTTAGGTCAGAACACATATACTACCCTTGACCAGATTATGTACTTCTTCACAAACCAAAACTGTTCCATGAACTCTTATGAAGAAGTAAAGAAATAGAACATGAATTTAACTACATTTCCAATACATTCCAATACATGTTTGACATGTAAAAAATACAAGGAGTAGAACATATATGTTTATCATATAATATGAACAAAGAATAATTAAAAAAACATTTTTGTCCTAAGCTGTCAATCATTGCAGCCTTAAAATTGTGTGATTTATTTATTACTCAGACAATACTTGACAATGAAAACAACTTCCTATGTGCTTGTAGTGTGTTCATGATTCTTATTGTATTATCATACCAGGCATTAATCTACACAAGTAAAAAATAATGCCTCTGTTCAGGTAAATATAGCTTATGTGTAGTAGTGGCTCCTCTTTACTGTGCTAACGCTCTCCTTTAAGGCTTAACATGCTTAGTCGCTGAGGTTGTTGAGGTTACTGGGTTCATATGAGGAGGGGGAGGTGAACCGTCAAATGAGTGTCAAGTTTGTTTTGAACGTAAAGAATGGTCTGGGTGTGTTGTTGACTTCTTTATTTCCTCCTTACTACCAGTCTGTAAGCACAGGTTCAATGGAGCTGTCTGTGCATAGTGACTCATACCTCTCACTAGGTTCCATTTATTTTGTTTATATCTATTGCATATTTTATTCTTAACGCTAGCCGTCCTTGTTGTGAACTAAAAAGAAGCAAGCCCACCAGCTCAATGTACAGCTGACCCATTGATACTCATCCTGTTAGAAAACGTTCACCCTTTCGTTTTATTTATTTTTTTTATCAGTAACTGATTTAATAATCCACAAATTTACGTAGATTATAATGATGTGTGAGTAGTGTAATTCATTTATTTTACAGACCACTTCTATAGCTCTGATGGTTCTTCTAAGGCTTTACTCCCCCAATGACAGAATGTTAGGATGTAGTAATGTACATGTTGATGATGCAGAAATACTGTATATTAATTCACAGCTGCATCAGGGAAGATTTTTCTGTTATTTGATTATCAATGCAGATTGAGCCCCTTTTGATTTTCATTTACATTGATATGGAATGATTACACAAAAGTATAGACATTTAAGATAAATACTGCAAAAGAAACATGAAAACGTGGTACTATAAATGAGCCTAAATGAATGAAGAAATGCACTTGTTACAGGCACATATTCAAATATATTATCATGTTAGTTAATTATATGCTTAAACATTTTAAATGGTAATAAAACCAAATGTCGTTGATGTGATGACATGATGAATTGCACAGTCTGATATGTTTTCTTTGTGTAAAACCATTGTATGACACATACACATCTTGTCTGGTCACATGTAGATGAAATCATAACTGCAGCTTGTTTGTTTGTTTTTTAAATATTGGGTTGTTGATTGTAGGGAGTCGTCATACCTCAAACTTTACGTGCAAGCAGCTGTTTTGAATAAAAATAAATCTTGTGGGCCCCTGTTGATATGCAAATTAGTTTGACATATAAACTGTTGTTGGCATGTGACCACAGTTGTCCCTGGTCCAAACCTATTGACATATTAAATTATATATGTATTTCCTTTAAGGTGAGTTACTTTGGCATTCTAGCACAGGAGTTTAATCTTGTATACAAAGTGTATTTGTTTAGCCACATTATTGCCAATTCTTTTTGTTTGCTTTTTCAGGCATCGATAAATCTTGTTTTTCATTGGCTATATTACATGAATCCACAACAAAGTCAAATAAAAATTCATTTCACACATTTCAAATCTGTGAAAGCTCAATCACTTTAATAAATGAAACTGTTCCCTTAAAGTATTTCCTTCATTCTTGAGTTAAGTCTATCTGGTTTGTTTCCTTGTTTGTAAAACTTTCGTTCGTACTTTTGTTATTGTAAGATTACCTTCTGCATTATTTACTCCACTTCACACGTATTAGTTTGAATAAAAAGAATACTCATTATTATTATTATTATTTCCATGTTATACCTCACGTGACATCACCAGTCACAGTTTCACATTTTTCATCATACAGTAGCTCAAGTCTCAAGACTGTAAGCATTTTAATTAATTTATTATTTGTAACCATTCAATGGGAGATTAAAAGACTAGAAAAACAAGTCTTGCAGTTCCACACATGAGCTGTTATTTTCGCAGAGCCTACATGTTGTTTGTCTACTGACTTCTTAATAGAACGCTTTTTAAACAGTGTCTGAATATTTTGCCTTTGTGCTTATACGTCTATAAAGATTTCTTTATCATAATATTTAAGCTACCTCTCAATGTGAGAGAGTTTGAAAGAGTAAAGTACAGCTCTTTACACAAAAATCCTAAAGACCTAAAGTCACACCAAGTTGTTCCACTCAGCACTCCTTAACATTGCACCCTGCTCCAGTCTACCCTCCTTGATAGTCCTTGTGTCCTGTTAGTGTTTCCTTATCACTGCTGCTGTTACAGTGTGTTCTCTTGTGAATTCTCCACAAACCTTTAAGGCATTGGTACAGTGTGCCTTTCTCTGCTGGCTGCAACCAGTCGTTTGTTTGTCCATGCTGTAAATTGAATTCTGTTAACATTCCGCTTTTCTCTTGCTTTTGTCCTACAGTGCCCAAAGCAGATGCCTGAATGAACATGGAACGTATGATAACACAACTAATCTTTACCTTTAAAATCTGCAACTGATGTGTGACCAAAGTACGGAGATGCGGGGGGGTGAGTGTGGACCAGATGGGGAGGAGACACTGGCTGCATGTGAAGGTGGAAGAGAGGACAGACTTATATGTGGGAAGCAGCATGGAAGAGTGCACCCTGAAGGCATCAGGGGAGATGAGAGTGGAGCAGGAGGAGACGTTGGCCAGGAAGATGAGGAGATGACCAGTGGTTCACATGACCTTTCCTCCTCAGCCAATCACAGCCCTCGCAGTGCCACTGGATCAACGTCAGCTTCTACCAAAAGGTTCTTTACCGCATCTTTCACCTGATGTTTTTTTTTTTTTTTTTTAAAAATTAGCCTATATTTATAGAAAATTCTTGCCATTTTTAAAATTATAATTAAAGATGTTCAAATACCATCTTAAAAGTTGATATCAGATAAAGTTGGTTGGTCAATGTTAAGCCAATAATTGCAATGTCCAGTGATTAGTTTTTACTTATGGATTATTTTTTAATTTTTAAATTGAAATGCATTTGTAAATTGTAATGCATTTGTATTGATCTTTCTTCAATTCATAATATTTAACGAAGAGGGAGCTATGCTATGTACATATGTACAAATATAAACGATTCAACTGTTGTGTTAAACAAAAACTTTGAAAAGCACTTGCTTTTCCTTGGACACCTGTCTGCACATGTCCCTCCCTGTGCTTCTGACCTAAATATGTTCCCTCCTGTGCCATCTCTGACGTTGCAGCAGTGAGCACACTGACAGTAGCAGAGGGCAGGCCCATAGACAGGTGATGGTCACTGTGGCAGAGATGAAAAAGAGGCTACCGTCAGACAAACGCAGCCGCAGCAAAGCCAGCACCGTGGAAGCCTTGCATTATGCACTCAACTGTGTCAAACAAGTGCAAGGTAACATGATGACACTAGAGCCACAGATAACACACTTTGCAGATGATGAATGTTGAAAATATAACTTTCTTTTTTTTGTTGAGTTATTATAGATTGCTTTTCACATCAACATATCTGTTTGTGATCCCCTTAGCCAACAGTGAATATTACAAGCTTTTGATGAGAAATGGTCAAGATGAGAGGAGAGAAGCCACAGTTTGCTCCCTGGAAGAGTTGGAAAGAGTCACCTCTGAACACACACTTAAAAATACGGTAATGAATTGTACAAACACAACAATTGATGCTTTATTTTTTCCAACAGTTCATCAGGTTTATGACACAAACGTTTATAGGGAATTGAGTTTAGTTGCTCTGCAGTTAACTAGAAATTCATACCTGATCAAGTACTGACATATTTTATTTGTATAATCCAAAATAACTTCGCCTTCCTCTTCAAAAATCCCAGTAACATGGAAAAATGTCTCTCCCTTGCCTAAATTTCCACAAGGGAACTCCCGAAGGATTAATAAAGTGCTATTTATCTTTGTAGGACTCATTTGTGGTGGTCTTCTCCCTGTCAACTGGCCGTGTCCTGTATGCATCGGAGCAGGGTCCCAGCATCCTTTGCTGCAAGAGGAAGTTCCTGGAGTCGGCCAAGTTTGTGGAGCTGCTGTTTCATCAAGACGTTAATGTGTTCTACGCACACACAGCTCAGCCTCATCTTCCTCCCTGGAGCAACTCACACTCAGGTGTGTTGGAGCCTCTTTTTCCTGATGTATTTATTATTTTTACATATATTGTTATTATTAAGGTGACATAAAGGATTTTCTGTGCAGCTAAATAATCATGTTAACATCTGTTTGCTCAAATAACTCTTTTCTCTGCTGCTTGTCTCCACAGCTAAGGTCCTGTTTGACTGTGCAAAGGTCAAGTCATTTTTCTGCAGAATAAGGTCAGTATTATATATATATTTTAATATTCTTAACTATGACATTGCATTGAGTCATTTGTCAAGTAAACACTAAAATGTGCATACAGATGATTTAATCAGAGGACGGCATTGGAAATACGTATTATTCTAATATGGATTTATTTTCATTTAAACCACCAAAATTTCACATGACCTCAACCCTCAACCTTTTAATCACAACAAAAAGTCAGTAGTACTGAGTAGTAAATAGAGTTTTTATTACAGAGGAGGGAAGGACCGTGATGGTGAAATGCGCTACAATCCATTCCGAATCACACCATACCTGCTGAAGGTGCAGGAAACAGGAGCAGGTGGGGAGGAGGAGCCTTGCTCCCTGGCTCTGGCTGAACGCATCATCTCAGGATATGAAGGTAAAGTTTTGTCAAATGTCTGGACTAGGACCTTGGTTTGCAGTCTTGTTTTCCAATTATTTTCATTATGAGAAAATACATGCTCATTTTTCTTTAAGACTCACACAATGATTGACTGAAAAAAGGTAAAAATTGGGAAATCTGACCTGGGCCTCTAACATGGTTTTAATGAATGGCCTTGATTCGTTAACTTTCATAGGACATCAACTCATTAGAATTACATCCTGTCATGTAAACACTGTGTTTCACACCACCATATAAATAAGAGCAAAATCAACTGATATATATTATCACCTTGCACATCCATTGGCACTGTTCCCTTGCAGTAGTGTTTTTTGGGCTGGTCAGGTGTTCTTTTTTTTTTATATATATATATATTTGTTCACCTCTAGAGTGTATTTAGAAGTGTTGATTGTTTTTTATTTTCTCACCGACTCGTTTATGTTGTTCATCCAATACAGCTCCTCGCATTCCCATGGACAAGCGCATCTTTACCACCACACATTCCCCTGGCTGTGTGTTTCTGGAAGTGGATGACAGGTCAATAAAATAACACACACCAGAGAACATGCACCATGAGAGTTGATATTGAGCAGCACAATAACAGTGTGTGGGTGAAGGTGATGTAACAGTATTTTTATCCACAGAGCTGTGCCGCTGCTAGGTTACCTTCCCCAGGATCTGATTGGCACATCACTGTTGACCTGCATTCATCCAGAGGATCGCCCCCTCATGCTGTCCATGCACCGGAAAGGTAGGAGTTCAGTAGAGGTTGGAGTAAATTTTTGGGAGTTAATTTTTTCTTTAACCTTGTCCTTGTTTGAAATATTTAACTGGCCTGATACAAATGCATTTTACTGACAAGTCTCATTCATAACAACACAACATTTACCACAGCACTGACTAGTGGCTGCAACCTGTAACAGCAGGTCTCACATAATGTGTTCAATATGATGGTAATAAAGATCACAACGACTAAATATTTTTTAAAATTCCAGACAGTTGCAAACCAGCTAATACGCATCTCTGCCTCTGAACAATTAAAATATTTAATGTCACATTCACATCTTTAACACATCATTAAACTTTAATGATACAAACACTAATAGCAACACACATTAAAAGCTTGTTTCAAAAATCCTGAAAAGAATGTACAAAATGAAATTAAAGTAAGAAAATAAAAATTACATGGTCATTGAAGCATTACATAATTTTATATTTTTTAACAAGCTTGACTCTCTTGGTGCATAAAAGGTTTATAAAGAACTTAAAAAAGTTAGACAATATTATTAAAATAAATTAATCAACAGTGATTTTGAACAGCTGTTCATCTGTTGACTTGATAAAATGCTTTTCTTACCATAAAATCCTCATTTCCTTTTCTAGTGTTGAAGTACGCTGGCCAGCCACCTTTTGAGCACTCTCCAGTTCGTCTCCGATGTCAGAATGGGGACTATGTCACATTGGACACCAGCTGGTCCAGTTTTATCAACCCATGGAGCCGCAAGGTTGCCTTTATCATCGGACGGCATAAAGTCAGAACGTAAGGGGTAACATCACATGCAAATATATAATGTTTAATTCAGTGATGTCACAGTATTTAGAGTGTAGTGTTTGTGTCAATGTAGCAGCATATTCTAATTCTAAATATACATCACTAAATAATATAACTTGGCCATGCTCTGGTCTCTGTGTAGGAGTCCACTCAACGAGGATGTGTTTGCTGCTCGGCCCAAGGAGGATTTTCCCATAACTCATGAAGATATTAAAGATCTCCAGGCAAAGATCTATAAGCTTTTCCTGCAGGTGAATATTTCTATGCCAAACATTCATAAAAACTGCAACATTATTAGTTAAATACTCTTACAAAGCACAATTAGTGATTTCTATCTAAGGTCTGGGCATAATGTTCTCTTAAACCACTGACACCCAATCATATAGAATAGAAGGTCAGGTATAAAAAGTTGTTTTGTGAGAATGTAATCTATTTACTCACTGCCCCACAGCCGGTTCACAACAATGGGTCCAGTGGTTACGGCAGCTTAGGAAGTAACGGATCTCATGAGCATTATATCAGCGTTGCTTCTTCAAGTGACAGCAACGGTAACCTGTGGGAAGATTCACATCGGGAACCGGTGAGAAACTGCAGCAGCATTACCTGTCAGAAAATCTAAGTGTAGCATGTTTACTCTTTCTGATACTGTAACACAAATCTATGCCTTTCACAGATGATCTTGCAGCAGATCTGTGCTGATGTGAACAGAGTGAAGACCTGGGGCCAGCAGCCTTATCTGGATTCCAACCACAAGGTTTCCCTTTTTGGCAAACCTGCCGCAGGTAATGTTTCACACATACACTCCTGTCCATGGAACTCACTACATCAGATTTTACCTTAAATATATCCCTCTTTTTTCCACCCAGCCCATCTGCCTCCAGCGCCTGCAAACCCTGAGGTCAGGGAACATGAAGATAGCAGGAAGCAAACCCACATTCCCTCTTATCAGCAAATCAACTGTGTGGACAACATCATCAGGTGTGTGTCTTGGTGGAAGCCAACCTGACATTTTATGTTTTTACACACCAAAATGCTCATTTATTTTCTTACACTGTTTCTTTTTCTTTATTGTGTTTTGCAGATATTTGGAGAGCTGCACAGGTCCAGCCCTGAAACGTAAGAGTGAGTCTCGTTCTCTGGCTTCATCCTCATCCTCTACCTCAGAAGACGACAAACCTGCCGTAGCTGCTGCAGACACGGTTCAGGCCAACACAGATGGTACAAACATGATAATGAGGTTGTTCAAATATAGGGGCTTTGGTGTGTTCAGTGGTCATTTCCATAATCAGACTTGTTCCTTTTAATTTTCATCTTTTGGTGGCTGGGAAACTGTGGTTTAGATTAATGTAAATGTATCATTTTGTATCCTTTATTCAGTGATGGTCCTAGAGAGTGAGGTCTCAGTGGGACCTGCAGCTGCTGCTGTTGTGGGAGCGCCTCTGACTGACATTGCCATGTCCACTAAGGCCATGAGCGTGGTCTCCGTCACCAGCCAGTGTTCATACAGCAGCACCATTGTACATGTGCCGCAGCCTGAATCAGGTCAGCACATATAACATCCTACATTAATCTTAATCATAATAACCATTTTTTTAGGTCTTATTCTCTTACTTTTACAGGAGGGTATAATTTTAAACTGTGAATCTATTTTAGGGGTTTGTGAGCTTCAGCTAATTTCCCTTCTTTCTTTTTTCCTTTTGTTTCTTTGCAGAGGCAACTGCACCAGAGGATGCACCAATGGGCAGTGAGCCTGCTGAAGTTGCTCCCACCCCGGTGCGTCCAGCTCCTAGCCCCGCCACAGAGGAGCCAAGGTTTGTTGGCCTCACCAAGGAGGTGCTGTCTGCTCACACTCAGAAGGAGGAGCAGGAGTACGTAGATCGATTTCGTCATCGCATCCTTCAGAGCCCCTACAGCTCCTACCTACAACTGGACAACAGCTCAATGGCCCACTCTCACCACCCAGGTAAAAGGGAGGGAGTCATGTTGTGTTTCATTGTGGTCTGATAAATAAAGCCAAACACAGTTACTACGTTGATTGTGATTTTCTTGCTGTTAATGCAAGAAGACAGCCACCTGCCTCCATTTGGCCTTCTGGAGTAACAGTCAATTATAAGCTTATCACTGATAAGGGTTTGCACTTTGAAAATATTCTGACTATTTAATGTAAAATGTTTAAAGAAGTTTCTATATGCAAATTCCCTTTAAATGTATAAGAACATACATCAGCAATCACTGAAAAGCTGAAAGACTTAAAAAAAACTTTTTTTTTTTCTCTTTACCATAGGGCCTACTCTGCGTCCATTGAGTGGTGGTGGCTGGAATCGCTCTCGCAGAGGAAAGCCCAGATATAAACGCCCCAAACCCCAGGGCTCCTCTGACAGCTATGCCTCTCCTCCAGGCCCTCCTCGTCATGTCCCTGACTCTTCCTGGCCCTCCTCAGAGTCCTCTCAGCCCCAGATGGGGGCGCCATTCAACCAAACATCTCCACTACAGACTCCATTTTTCCCTGTGTTGCCAACTCAGCCTGGCTCGGAACAGTTGAGACCACAGCAGTTGCCCAATGTGGCTTCTGCCCAACCACAGCTTAACTACAACTTCACCCCAACACCAACCACTCAGAACATACAAGGCATGCAGCCTGTCCAGCTGGAGCCCATTCAGAACCTGCAGAACTTTCACACAATGCAGCCCATGGCTCCAGCTCAGGGCATCAACCCGTATATAACTCCCGTCATGGCCTTCATTCTGCCCAACTACCCCACTTTCACTGCAGGTTACCCATCTCTGTACCCACAGTCCTGTACCTCCATGCTGCCCCAGACTCCCATCACATTGACGGGCTTTGTCCCTGGACCTGCCCCCTTCCTTCAACCTCAGTTCCAATGCCAGACGGGCACACATACTCAGACTCCTCCTGGACCTCTGCTGTGTTCTCCCAGAGCCAGCTCCTCAGTTGGAGAAGAAGAAGAGGCAGCTGGACCTGGGGCTTTATTCTCAAGCTCCCGCTCAAGTTCTCCACTGCAACTCAACCTTCTGCAGGAGGAGCTTCCTAAACCCAGTGAAGGGCAGAGCAGCACTGGACACAATCATGCCGAGAGCCTGCATGAAACCCATGGCAATGAAGTGAGTCAGCTGTTGTTCATTAGCCTTCATCTTTTGAAAATGTAATTCCACCTTTTTATAACCATGATGGTCTGTGGAATTTCAATCACTGCATCAGTGTAGATAAGTTCATGATATATCCTAAAGGAAAAGGATTCAACAAGTATTCATACTGTACCTATATATATGTATGCTATTTTCAGAGCCCATCTTCACAGTGTGAACATTCAGGAAGACTAACTCATGGCTCATTTGTCCTCTAATTCTCAAAAGAGCAAAAAATTATATATATAGATCTTTTACCAAATCTGAAAAATTCCTGCCTTGGAAGCATGGAGAAAAAAATATACTATCTTATTGTGTGGTAATATATAGGCATGCAGTTGACATTTATTTTCTTATATCAGGGTGATGCTCCTAGTGATTCAGGGAACCAGGATGCTCAATCAACATCTAGTGAGCTGCTCGACCTCCTGCTACAGGAAGATGCCAGGTCAGGGACCGGTTCTAATGCCTCAGGGTCTGGATCTGGAGAATCTGGCTCTTTGGGTTCAGGGTCTGGCTCCAATGGAACCTCCACTTCTCACACAGGTAAGAACCAAAAATAAATAAAATAACAGCCCTACTTGTTTGACAGTGTAATAAAAAGGCTGGTAGGTGGCTGTAATACATCCTTGCTGAGTTATGTGTAATGATTTTAAATGGTTACAGGCAGCAGCAACAGCAGCAAATATTTTGCAAGCAACGATTCTTCAGACACATCACGGAAGGCACGAAAGAGCCAGGAGACACAAGCAGAGCACCAGCACAGCTTTGACACAAGGGTGGAAAATTCTCTGTGGAGCATGATACAGCACACGCCTGAGCGGGTCATGATGACCTACCAGATCCACACCAGGTATGTGTCAGAGCCTGATACACAGGCCATGTAATAGAAGAACCCCAAAAAAGGAGACATACTGGATAAAACTATTAAAGTATTTGACAGCTGTTTGGGAAAACCACCTGTTTTTGGGATCATGGATGAAAATGTGTGCAGAAAAGGAACAATTTTCTAAATACCAATGCAGACCTACAGACCTGTGCTGACAGTTTCCTCCACAGCTGTCAGAAGCAGCAGTTCATCTGCTCAGTCAAATGTTTATTCAGAATTCTTTCCCTTAATGTCAAAACCCATGCTCAGGTATGTGACACAGATTAACACATCTGGAGTAATAAACATTTTCCTGATTTATTTTCAGGGACCAGAGCGAGGTCTTGGCAGAGGACAGGGAAAAGCTCAGAGTTCTTCAGCCTCTGCAGCCCTGGTTCAGTCAGGAGCAGAGAGAGGAGCTGGCTGAGGTTCATCCCTGGATCCAGCAGCACACTGTCCCTGCAGAGATAGACACACAGGTAAAGATGTTTTGAAAAGCAGCACACAGAAACAGTCTGGTTTCTGGGTCGTTAGTACTTCATATAGACATAATGCACTACCCAACCTGTTACCCTAACCTTAACTAATACATCCATACTATTAATCCTTACCTTAACTCTAACCCAGCCCAGTGGGTGCCTGAAAAACATCACCGCAAGGACATGAGTTGACAAATGATGTGTGTCTGTGTGTGTAGAGATTTTGTTGTTCTCCACATCTATTGTTATGGATCAACTATAGATCTAGAGTGACATACTGTACTAATACATTTCTGACTTAAAAAATTAAGAATTTGAAAAAATGAATAAAAATGCTCCTAAGGGGGCTCAATAAATAATGTTCCTTATTTCGATAGATATTTATTTGAAATATCAAATTGTTTATCACATAGTTGCTAATAGTTTTTCATTTGAAAAAGAAATCATAAGTTTAAATAGTAATATAAAAGGCTTTCTTCCTGTGGAACTCCATTTCCATTTACCATTTACTGCCATCACTGCTCTGACCACTGCCTTCATAAAAAAAACCTCTCAAACATGTGCAATCGAGTCCATGTTTTCTGTTTCTTAACTTCTAAGTACTAAGATCATGTATTGACATAGGTCTTTATTTTCTGTTCCTCAGGGTTGTGTGAGCTGCAGTGCATCAGCCGCTGTCTCCCACTCACCTCACCCTCCTGACCCAGACAGCTCATCCACTCTGGACAACCCTCATCAGCAGGACATGGTTGCATCTGTACTGGACACATGAAAAGCCTGGAATCATTAAACCACCCTCCCCTGGAAGTTCACAGCGGTACAGTTCTGCCCAGAGACCCAGTCCCTCCTGTCTGTAGTCTCTGTCCTGACAGGTAACCTAAGAGTTCTAAAGTTCATGATATCAGAGACCAGACCACCAGGAAGAAGTCTGATGTGACCACCTTTATCTGACCATGCACATTTGACTTCTGTGTTTCTCTCAATCCCATGTTGGGGTTTATTTTGAAGGCTAAACACAAAAACAGTAATTTGTGTGTACATGTGTTTGTTTGTTTGTTTGTTTGTGTGTGTGTGCAAGTGTGTTTACGACACCAGCACTTTGTTCTCACTCAGTGTTGTTGGACAATGAAAAAAAGACAGTACTGGTCCAGTAGTAGCCTCAGAACGCACAGCAGACTCTCCTCTGGTAAGATGGCGGTCCAGTTCTACTCAGAGACGCACTGTTATATTTCATGGTCGTCGTCATCTTAGTTTTTGGACGGCACTAAGACAAAGACACGTTTGCTGCTCTCTGTGTTTAATATTCACTTCTGACTGTGTGTCAATTGTTATTCCATAAGTGAGTTTTTTCTTGTCTGGGGTCTCAAACAAAAGCAAATATTTTACTAATTATTCATTTAATTGAATTAATATAAAATTTACCCTAATAACTCCCCTAAAATTAGTAGCACCTACCCTTTATTTGAACCACAATACCAGTAGTAAAATATCCTGTTTTCTCCTTCTAAATGACTTTGTTGTTGTTTATGTGTCAACAGTCAATGAGTAAATCAACGTGGTCTGAGCTGGATTCAGGTGAGGATGTGAACATCTACTGTGTGAGAGTTCCTACTGTGACTGCAAACTACCATAGACTGTGTATAAGCAAAGGGTGTAACCATCTAGGTTTAAATGTTAAATCCTGCAATTTGTTGAGAAGCAGCAGTGAACCACGACTCCAATGGTTACAAACAATACTTGAAATCATGATGATAAGTCTGGAAATCTAGGGACCAGCTCATCTGACTATTAACTCAGCAGTGTTCAGGGTCCAACTCATATGTTTAAGGTTTTTCCTAAATAAAATAAGTTGACAATTGGCTGTGATTGGCTGTGTCAAATTTGTAATCTATCATTTGAAAAAAGGACTAAATCATCAATGAATTATTAAGGGGAATCACTATTTTAACAAAAGTACTGACAACACAACCTACAACAATGATGAACCTCATAAAACACAAGAATTCATATAAGACTTATTTTATATCTTCAAATTTAATGTCATGCCGTCACATAGTCAAGCAGGACAAATTGCTTAAAATTTAGAAATATTGAAACATTTCAAGATTAATTTCATTGATCTTAAATGTTAAACTTAAAAAAACAACTCATAATTATCACACCAACACAACTGGTCACAGTAAGGTGTTGCAGGTTCTTGGCTTTATCCTTGTCTTATATGCAGTCGAAGGGACAAAGCAGATTTTTTATGTTTTTTAGATTACACAAATAGAATTACCCTCCAGTGTATTTTATAAAAAAAATATATAAAGTAAAATGTCACGCAACTTGACACAAGTGTATAAAAAAAGCCATTTGTTATTGCTTTCAGGGACTGTTTGTGACACAAGGAATGAATAAATGAGCTATGATGTCAAAATTGGAATTTTGCATGTCAATTTTGGTCAGCTGGTGAAAAATTACGATGAAATGTTTTTTGAAGAAGAAAATCCCAACTTTATCTTTTCTGCAACAAAGAAGTCACAAGTCAAGTTGGTGTGGTCTAGAGAAGTAAAAAGTGATGTAAGAGGGAACCCGGGTAGGGTTCCCTCTTACATTACTTCCTCAGTCTTTCAAGTTTAAAAGAGTAGTCCAGTTGCTTACACCTAAACATGACCTGGATGAATGAGAATCTGCACAAACATCTTTTCTGCATGTTTCTCATCAGATTACAGCATTTTGAAGATTATATAGAAATTATCATTTCAGAAATTTTTTGCAAAATCTGAATTTCATGTCATGTTGACCAGATGTTGAAATATTATGATAAAAAATCTTTTTCACAATTTTAAATTTTTTTCATGTTTCTCTTTAAATTGCAACATTTTGAGAAATTTTATTTAAAATTGTTTTTTCAGAATTTTTTTCATCAAAATCCTAATTTCGCATGTCATGTTTGTCAGATGTTAAATCTGATTAAATGAAAATTTTCTTTTCACAATTTTATTGTTTTTGGTTAATTTGAGGCATTTTGAAAAATTTTACAGAAAAAAAAATCGCAATTTTTTTAGCAAAATTCTGATTTATGATGACTTTTTGGTCAGTTGATAAAAAATTATGATAGCAATTTTTTTTTCCAGATTTTTACATAAAATCCAAATTTTACGTCATGTTCAGATGGTGAAAAATTATGATGAAAATCTATGGAATTTTTCTTTTCAAAATTTTATCTTTTCTGCACGTTTCTCATCCAAATTAAGCGTTGTGAAAAGATTTTTAGAAAACTTTTTATTTTTTGGTCAAAATCGTGACTTTTGGTCAGATGTTGAAAAGTTGAAAAGATTTTTGAAAAAAAATGTTTTTAAAATTTTATCTTTTCTGCACATTTCTCATCAAAATTTAGCGTTTTGAAAAAGTTTTGCTAAAAAAGATTTTTTGGAATTTTTCAGCAAAATCATGACTTTTGGTCAGATGTTGAAGAATTTTGATAAAAATGTTTGAATTTTTTTTAATTTGATCTTTTCTGCACATTTCACGTCAAATTTTTTTGCAAAAATATTTTGATCTTTTTTCATCAAATTATGATGAATATTTTTGAAAAAAATGTTTTCAAAATTTGATTTTTTCTGCACATTTCTCATCAATATTTAGAATTTTGAAAACATTTTTAGAAAAAATATTTTTTGGAATTTTTCAGCAAAATCATGACTTTTGGTCAGATGTTGAAAATTTTTGATGAACATTTTTGAAAAGAACTTCTAAATTTTACCTTTTCTACACATTTCTCATCAAAATCTACCATTATCAAAAGATTTTTAGAAAACCTCTTGAATTTTTTGGCAAAATCGGAAAATCTTTGAAAAAAATGTTTTCAAAATTTTATCTTTTCTGCATATTGAAATTATGGCACAATTATGGCTTTTGGTCAGATGTTAATAAATTGTTTACATTATATTTAATGATAGTAAGGCTATAATAGGGCATGTTTTTG